TCTCCAGCAGACAAAGGCATATACACCATAGTAAGTTCACTTAACCTTCACGCATATATAAGGATTCTCTTACAGTTGTGGACACTTACAGATCGCTCTCACTGTTCACCACACTACTACACTCCAAAGACATGTAAGACCTAAGTCACTTCACTTAACGTTCAGATACATATTAAATCTAATCCAACCTAACCCAACCTAACTTAACCCAACCTAACTTAACCTAACGTAATGTAACCCAACCTAACGCAATGTAACCCAACCTAACTTAACCCAACCTAACTTAACCTAACGTAATGTAACCTAAAGCAATGTAACCTAACCTAACTTAACCCAACCTAACTTAACCTAACGTAATGTAACCTAACCTAACTTAGCCTAACTTTAACTTAATCTAAACTAACTTAACCTAACCTAGCCCAGCCTAACTTAACCTAACCTATACCAGTACCTAAACAGCCACACAAACTAAAGCTCCCACTAACCACAATAACAGACGGATTTAAACAGGAACCAAACGTGTATGTGACGGTAAATGAGTATAGGGTTATATTATTGACCTGCGGCACATAATAACAATCAGTGTAATTAATCATAGGCGTAATTATGGGCGTTAAAGCTGAACAGATCGTGCGTATAACACACTCTTGATGCGATGTTTATAGTGTATATATATTATTAGCCTCGATGTTTATAGTGTATATATATTATTAGCCTCGATGTTTATAGTGTATATATATTATTAGCCTCGATGTTTATAGTGTATATATATTATTAGCCTCGATGTTTATAGTGTATATATATATTATTAGCCTCGATGTTTATAGTTATTATTATTATTAACTCACACATCTTGAACATTATGGAGAAACACACAAACATAAAATTTATCTCTCTCTCTCTCTCTCTCTCTCTCTCTCTCTCTCTCTCTCTCTCTCTCTCTCTCTCTCTCTCTGTAGGTATTTCATCACCAAAATAAGTCAACATTTACGACATCTCTCCGCCCTCAAGCACCAATTAGTGGAATGACAAGCTGTGGGTTCTGGTCGGCAGGTTTTTAATATGAATTTAATCGATGTTTGCGGAATACCTTTACCTTCATTTCTTCTAATTCTGTCTTATTCTCTTCCTATTCTGTGTGTGTGTGTGTGTTTCCCGACGTACTACTCCATGTTTGAAAACCCATTAAACTACCATCGTCAACCACGACACTAAGGACTACAACCAATAACTACCGCAACTGGTAATTAGACAATCATAACCACCGCAACTGGTACCATGACCATCAGTCAACATCATCTACCACAACTACAACCACCGCAACTGGTACCTACGACCATCAGTCAACATCATCTACCACAACTACAACCACCGCAACTGGTACCTACGACCATCAGTCAACATCATCTACCACAACTACAACCACCGCAACTGGTACCACACCACCAGTCAACATCATCTACCACAACTACAACCACCGCAACTGGTACCTACGACCATCAGTCAACATCATCTACCACAACTACATCCACCGCAACTGGTACCTACGACCACCAGTCAACATCATCTACCACAACTACAACCACCGCAACTGGTACCTACGACCATCAGTCAACATCATCCACAACAACTACAACCACCATCGACCAGTACTTCAGCAACCACCATCGACCAGTACTCGTAGCAACCACCATCGACCAGTACTCGTAGCAACCACCATCGACCAATACTAGTAGCAACCACAATCAACCGCAAACTACCACTATCAACAACAACCACTATCAACCACTTACACCCCAAGGTCACTACCACCTCAACCTAACTACCAGCGTACTTAATACTTTACTAATCGTTCTAATAACTACTTCACAACTTACTCTACTAATTGCTCTGAGAATGAACGTCTCTACTAACGACCCAACTAGGCTAACTGCTTTTGGGTACCTACCACACCATGTTCTCGGATAACTACCGCCTAACTACTTTTTATGGCTAACTACCCTTACTAATTCCTCTCAGGTTAACTACCATACTAACTACTCTTCAATGAATTAATATAGCAAACTAGAGCCAATAACAACCTGTTAACTGCGAATCAATTCAGCGACATCATCATCACTATACCCCCTGGCAAATCACTCCACTAACTACTACCTATTGGCTAACCACTGTACACACAGGAGTCGCCCGCCTACCTGCAAGTCACGAACGCCTTGGCACGTGAGTGGGAGGGGCAAGAAGAGAGGAAGGAGGCAGAGAAGGAGGAGGAGACGAAGAGGAAATGGGAGAGACTAATAAGGGAGGGGAAGGAGAAAAGGAGGGAAGGGGGGTGGGGAGAGGAAGAAGAAGAGGAGGGGAAGGGAAGAAGTAGGAGAGGGAAAAGGGAGGAGGAAGGAAGGAGAGAGGGCAGGAGAAGGATGGTATCAACACACACACACACGCACGCACGCACACACACACACACACACACACAATGTCATCAGCACCTCTACATCGTCGTCACCTGTTGTGTGTTGAGGTGAGTGCCTCGAGCGGACTGTACCAGTGTTAATGACTATGAGGAGGGGTCTTGGTGGGGGGGGAGGGGTATTGGTGGGGAGGGAGGGGGTCTCAGGGGAGGAGGGTGTTGGGGAGGAGGGGTGTTGGGGGAGGAGGGTGTTGGGGAGGAGGGGTGTTGGCGGGGAGGGAGGGGGTAAGGGGAGGAGGAGAGAAGTCTGGTGGGGAAGGAAGGGTGGTAGGGAGGAGAGAAGGAAATATACAAAACACACATAACCCCCCCCCTAAACACACAAACAAAACCGTCTCCACACACACACGTAATACAGTTTAATCCCTACGTAGACACTTCTCGCCACAATACCCCAATGCAGTGGGAACATAAAATCATTATAACAAAGCCGTGACCATGACAGCACTCATTATAACCTCATTAACTGATAAACAACAGCACCATTATCATCATCCTCATTATCATCATCATCACCACCACCATTATCAACAATTTTCTTAGTATCATCAATTACCTTCATTACTAAAATCATCAGTATCATCATTTTCATCGGCATTCGTATCATCATCAATATTATCGTCATTAATATCACCATCATCATCATGCCCATCAACATTATCAACCAGTTCCAATATCATCACCATCTACCATCACCATCCCCACCATCATCACCTCACCACCACCATCAACACCCCCCACCATCAGTAGCAGCCGTGAACTCAGCCTCTCCTCCCCCCACCATCAGTAGCAGCCTCCTCCCCACCATCAGTAGCAGCCGTGAACTCAGCCTCCCCACCATCAGTAGCAGCCCCCCACCATCAGTAGAAGCCTCCCCACCATCAGTAGCAGCCTCCCCACCATCAGCAGCCTCCCCTTGACTCCCCACTTCTTGTTATTGTTACCAAATCCAACCAATTAAATTACAAGGTCTGATGGTCTCTCAGATACATGTGGTTCCTGTCATTAAGTGGCCCAACAAAGACAACTGATTATTGTTCAGTTATTCCACCTAATGTAACCTAATCTAATTTAACTTAACCTAACCATAACTAACCTACCTAATTTAACCTAATCTAGTCTAATACAACCTAACCTAATTTAACGTAACCTAATTTAACCTAACCTAATCTAACCTAACGTAACATTTCGTAGTTATTTTTTCTATACGATGTGAGTGAAAGTTACAAATATAAAGAGACGAGAGCAGACCGTACAAACGTTATTAAGTATTGATAAATCACCTGAAGATTAGCCCCTCTCTAGCGATTTCACTATAAGATCAAGCCACCCATCCTAACACCAACCCACCCATCCTAACACCAAGCCACCCATCCTAACACCAACCTAACTCCCCCCCCCCCCAATGCTATTTCACCATAAGATTAACCCATGCACCCTAACATCAACCCATCTTAACGCTAACCCAGCCAGAAAAGGTGAAGTTGTTAAATCATCAGGTGATAATAGGCATGTGGGAAGGTTAATCCTCAGGTGATCAGTTTTCATGAATATAAACACACTACTGTATACTCTGCAAGGGCTGGCGGGTCACTGATAAGGGTATACAGTATATTGGCTCACGACCACTGCCGCTACCGCCTCCCTTCTGAAATTACATACGTATACCATTTTCACATCTTCAGGTTAAGGTAACATTGGATTAAAAAAAATGGTGAGTCACTCGCTCGCTCGCACGCACACACACACACACTGGAATGCATTTGACAAGCGTGATGGAAAAGTGCGACAGTGAGGTCTTCCACCCCCCCTCCCTGACGAGAAAGTTGGGTGTATCCGGCAGGGCTTTCCATCGTCACCAACACCAAGGTCGCCGCCACCACTACTATGACACTCACTCCCCTGCAGCCCGGGGTGAGGGGGAGGAGGGGAGGTGTTGGATGCTGTTGGGGAAGAGAGGTGGTGGGGTGAGGGAATGAAGAAGGAAGATGAGAGATCAGAAGAGGGACAGGAAAGGGGGGAGGGGGAGAGAAGAGGGAGGGAGGAAGATGAGAGAGGTACCCTAATAATGACCACCAGCAGAGGTAGTGTGGTCACCTGTATTTGTCTGAAGGAGGCCCGGAAGGTGAGTATAGAGGCCTGCGAGTGAATAGCCAAGAGGACGACCATGACAATGAGGTGGTCAGCCCGGGGCGTTAACAGTGATCTACAAGACTCACATAAACGAGTAAGAATGTCGCATCATTGGTCACACTCTCCATGAATGAAAGTCTCAACACAGTCGGCGAGGAGTAATGAATAAGATGTTTAAAAGAATGGATGGTGTACAAAGGCGAGAAGAGAAAGGAGGAGGAGGAGAGGGCGGTGATATAGGTCTCCGGCATTGGTTCCCCGCGAGTAGAGAGGAATGTCACCAGACCACTTACTTGTGAGGAAGCACTTCACGTACTGGGCCGCGCGCAACATGAGAGAGATTACACCCTACACCCCGTGAACGTCTTCCATCTTCCTCTAAGAGAAAGTTTTAGTCAGCCAGAATCCCTAAAATGTGTCAGGTACTTACGATTTCTTTGCGAAGAAACTCCATCTTCTGGTCGAGCGGCGTCTTCTTAGTGGAGGCGTTGACTTGAGTGGTACTCGAGGTGTGGGAGGAAGTGTTGGAGGCGGTGGATGTGGAGGAGGTATTGGAGGCGATGCTTGGAGGGCCGGCGGTCAGGTGACTGGTCGGGGACAAGTCACTGTCACCAGAATCAGCACCAGAGTCTGAGGAGCACATCGACCAGCGCTTCTTAAGGGTCTCGGAGTTTTTGAGTCGTCGTTCAAAGTACTCGCGACATTCCTTAGCCACCTGGTCTTCCTCTTTGACCATTTCATCTTCCAACATTCCATTCTGGGGATCAGAACAATCCAGGGAGTCCAAGGCAGATTCTTCCAGTGAGTCGAGACCTCCGTGTGTGCCAGAGTCCGGGGTGAGAAGGCGTGAAGGTCGCACGAGGTCATACAGGTGGTTATCATGACCTTGTGACCGCGACTCCCGGTGGTAAGAGCTGTTGGGGTCACCGCCAGGGATGACGTCATAGATGGGGTCGTGTGTGGATGGGGACCTTCTGCGCCTGTCACAGGTGTCCAGACTGTAAGGGTCACTGTCCGGCGTCAGGTCATATATCGGCTCGTGTCTGGGCGAGGGAGAACTTCTCCGCTTGGGCGACTTGTTGCGATTAAAGGTACGAGGGTCGGTGGCGGGCGTGACATCATACATGGGGTTGTCGACGAGGGTGCAGGACCTGGTGAGGGGCGGCGGCATGTCTCCCTCACTACTCATACCACCACACTCACTCCGACTCTTCTTACGGGGCAGCGTAGAACAGCTGCTGGAGGTGCTACTCTTGAAGCTACCGTAGCTACTGGAGGAGGAAGAGGAGTAGCCGCTGCTGGCACTGATGCAGGAGGCGGTGTCAGAGGAGAGGTGGTGGAGGGCGGAGTGTGAGAGTGCCAGTGAGAGGCGGGGGCGACGGGGTAGGGTTACCACATGGCCATACTGCCACACATCCTCGGCGGTAGCAGCAGGAGCAGCGTCATGGCCGTTCCTGGGGCGGGAGTCCCCTCGCTGCAGGAGACTCTTGACCCGCTGCTCCACCCGCGTCACAGCACTGCGGGTGCCGCCAGTACTACTCAGATTCTCACAGCTCTTGTTGAGGGAGCGGGAGTCAGACAACTTACTCTTGGTCACCACCAGGGAGTTCATGTGTGGAAAGTCACCCACGGGAGACTCGGTTGGCAGCAGGTCAGACTGACTTGACCTGAAGTGTCCCACCGTGACCTGGCTGTCCGTTCCCCTCAGCCCAGCCCCCACCAGCTTGTACTGACCTGACCTCATCACGCTGCTCTCTGGCGCCACACCTGCAACAACAATAAATCAGACTTTTATAATGCATCAACAAAGTAATAAAAAATATGATACACACAGGTCTTCAATACCATGATAGACTACAAAGAGTGTTGTTTACGAGGAGTCAAGACCGAGTTGACACTTCATAAGTCAGTCCTCATAACTCTACAGCACTCCACTCCTGGTGCACCACAAGTCAACGAGAACATAATACAGTACGGTAACCATAACGCCGCACAGCACGCCATGACGGTAACGAAATGTGAACTCGACAACCTTTATAACCCACAACTGGAACCTACAAACGAATATATCAAACTTGAGAATGACAGACAGTCGGACACACGAATAAATAATGATCTTGGGTGGAAACGTTGTCAAATCCATCTTCAACTTCCATCTGTGGGTGTTACTGTACAGCAGACCACGCACTACCAACCTAATTTCCAGTACACGACAATCGCCCCTCAGATAGTCAGCTCCATCTGCTGCCCAAAAAAAAAATCAAAGGCTATTTTCTTGATGCAACGGTTGTTTTCCTTCCCTTTAAACCTGACCAAACAGACAGATTACATTTCACCATAAAACCTCAAGGACAGTTGGTATTAATATTATAAAGCATTGCTGTCCTTCCATAACTAAGGTCTTTAAGCATATCTTTAGGTTATTAGTAAATGAACACGCCATCAACAATTAAATGAGCAAGAGTGTCTGGTTTTCAAGACCAATACTTTCAGACCAGCTTACATCACAGGCTACTGCTGGTCACTCACCCCCTTATTATACCTTTTAAACCTAGCATCAAGTGGACTGACAGAGCCGGGGTAGAATAAGCAAGAATTTAACAGAAACAATGGCACACTGACCTACACAAGCCAACACGCTCACCAAAGACATCAAGCAGTTACAAAATATAATGTTCATTCCTTTCGAGACTTGATCTTTAACTATACACAATAACATACAACTTTATATTTAAATGACAATAAAAAAAATACACAAGATAATATTGTCTAAATTCTACTCGATATAAAAGTATTTAGAATTAATACTCGGTACAGAAAGTATAAGATTGAGCAAATATTCCAGTCAAAGTGGACAGTGTGTGTGTGTGTGTGTGTGTGTGTGTGGAAACCAATGATGTGAATGATTATAAAACTAGACAGGAAAGGTTACTTGCTTCTCGTACCACAGTGGCTAAGTCAAATCTCAAGGCCAAAACTACCACAAGGAAATAATAACAATATCACATCTTACTCAGCTACGTAAAAAAAAATAGAATAAAAGTTTGTTTAGGAAATTACAGAGCTAAGACATAAAGTAAATAGCAATAAGACGAAGCTATCCATTCACTGTTTCGCTGAAGTTGTGTCATGGAGTTTTGAAGTCACACAGAGCTATCAGTTCAGGTAAATCACGGAGGATAAAGTCACTGGTCGGAGTAATGATCACTGTGACACTTTTAGCTAATGTCAGTGATAGGTAAAAGTAATACCACATGAAAACACACATTCAGGTCACACCATAATTACAGGATATAGCACAGTGCTGGTTCTGTTTGAGTGTGACACAGCTAGGTCAGAGTAAGGTCACTGTGTTACGTCATAATGTCACTGTAACACGTTAATGGCCACAGTGCCCTGATATAAGTTGGGCCACAGTGATGGTAATATGCAAGTCACAGAACTAATGTCAGTGAACTGGTGGTAGCTGCGGGCACACTGTCAGGCTAAAAATATGACTGTATTATTAGGCCAAACTTGAGTTAAGACGTTAGCTTAAAATAAATAAAATATAAAGTCGAAGACAAGCCAGACAAACTAACTGCACAATTTTCAAATACAGTAAACGGTATAACAAAACACCTCAACTAAGACTAGCATTATAATGTAGGTGGAGTCGAGTACTGGTGTTCAGTAAATAATGATAATAATGAAACAGAAGAAATAGAAACACCTGAGGGATAATATTCCATTTGTGGTTCTTAAAATACTCGCCTCCCCTCAATATACTGACTAGTGTTGGACTGCCTGTTTCATACGACCTTGCGACCATGCGCGGTATGCTACTCCACCACCTTGTACGAGCACTACCAACACTGACTAATGAAACACTCTCATGCGCTCACTGATCCAAGGCAACGACATGTTTTAGCTTGTTCGTTCAAGCTTCGTCGTCACCTTACTGTAAAAAAATAAATATCACCTGTCATCTAACGGATTACGTAGTTTAAACTCATTACACAGTATTCTCAGATACAATAAGCATACCGACTACTCGAATTCAATTAGCATTATTATTCGTAGACTTAAACAATAATCACAGTGCATTCATCAAACTTGTTTCTGAATAACAGTCTATAAAGAGGACGGATACAATTCTCCCTAATCATTAATGTATTCTATCATTATTTTCTCCTTGGTTGTTGTGACTGTAACAACCCTGAACTGTAATTAGTGTCATTGTGTTGTAAGTACCTAATGGTTTAATTGTAGGTGATTGTTGGCATTAGGGGAGAAGGGAATAGAATAAACTTGACATGAACCATTACGCTCCCAGGCCCTCAGAATACCAGATATACTGTAGTGTCCAGATGAGGGTCACATCACCAAGCACCATGGTACACGACAAACACTTCACTAGCTACTTACTCTTGTCTAAGCAAACGAACAAACACTCTCCAGAAGCAAACTCCAATATGCAATTTTGCTAGTTCATTTTTGTGTATGTTGTTCTTCCAAATGAGTCAAATGACAGAAATTAGCGGCAATAGTTGGTCTACCAAAACAAAGCGTCGTGTTGTGTGTGGCCTTCATGGGGTCGTTACCGCTAGCAGTTAAATGACCCACAATGTATTTACTACATAATTAGATACAAATCTTTTTCCCATCTCGGTAACAAAGTAAAACCGAAAAACACACCAAACAGTTAATAAAAGTAGCATGCAGGCATAAACGAGGATATACATAACTAGATAAACTAGAAGGTAGAGATAAAATCAGTAATAAATGTTTTTATATATGCATGCCACGTCCGTAGCCTTGCATGCATGGGTGACTAAGGCTGCCCGGATGAGGTGGAGCGAGGATTAATGAACAAAGATGTGGGTAAGATGAGTCGTGAAAGAATGAAAGGCAAGACAAATAGAATAGAAAAAAATACTGTAGCCCGATAACAATGAGGGTAGGATGGGAAATGTGTATTAGCTATAAATCAGGATGGATACGCTGAGAGGATGAACACTATGACGAGGGAGGCATTGGTAAACACGCAAAATTAGGGATGACAGGAGTGGATAGAGACTCAATGATAGGATTAGTAGACAAGGATGCCGTGATAGGATGGACAAGGAAGGATGGTCTTTGATTTAACGAACCTATAAAACTAGGGTTATTAAGGCGATGAAACAGGATTAGTACATAAATAATGCATACAGTACAAGCAACAATTGATGGCGCAACATACAAGCAAGAAAAACGGGAGTTAAATTAAACAAATACGGTTGACGCTTGGCTACTGACAACAGACAAGGGTGTGGATAAGAGGAAAAGTTCGGGGACGCATTTAAGAGGATGTGGATAACTGGAAAACCCAAGACAAGGGCATGGATATCAGGAAAAGTTAGCCAGAGACACGTAGACATCGACATCATCAAACCTAACATATTATCCGGCACGATATGATCAGGATAAAGATATCAGGTTGTGGTAAGGGTAAGCAAGCTAGGATGGGATAAGCAAGGTAGGATGGGATAAGGATAAACAAGGTAGGATGGAATAAGGATAAACAAGCTAAGGAAGGATAAGGATAAGCAAGGTAGGATGGGATAAGGATAACAAGTTAAGGAAGGATAAGGATAAGCAAGCTAAGGTGGGATAAGGATAAGCAAGCTAGGATGGAATAAGGATAAACAAGCTAAGGAAGGATAAGGATAAGCAGGGTAGGATGGGATAAGGATAACAAGTTAAGGAAGGATAAGGATAAGCAAGCAAAGGTGGGATAAGGATAAGCAAGCTAAGGTGGGATAAGGATAAGCAAGCTAAGGTGGGATAAGGATAAGCAAGGTAGGATGGGATAAGGATAAACAAGCTAAGGTGGGATAAGGATAAGCAAGCTAAGGTGGGATAAGGATAAGCAAGCTAAGCTGGGATAAGGATAAGCAAGCTAAGGTGGGATAAGGATAAACAAGCTAAGGTGGGATAAGGATAAGCAAGCTAAGGTGGGATAAGGATAAGCAAGCTAAGGTGGGATAAGGATAAGCAAGGTAGGATGGGATAAGGATAAGCAAGGTAGGATGGGATAAGGATAAGCTAAGGTGGGATAAGGATAAGCAAGCTAAGATGGGATAAGGATAAGCAAGGTAGGATGGGATAAGGATAACAAGGTAGGATGGGATAAGGATAAGCAAGGTAGGATGGGATAAGGATAAGCAAGCTAAGGTGGGATAGGATAAGCTAAGGTGGGATAAGGATAAGCAAGGATGGGATAAGGATAAGCAAGCTAAGGTGGGATAAGGATAAGCAAGGTAGGATGGGATAAGGATAAGCAAGGTAGGATGGGATAAGGATAAGCAAGGTAGGATGGAGTAAGGACAAACCATCAAGGATAAGATCAGAATAAGCAAGGTAAGGAAGAATGGGGAAAAGATGATAGAAAAAGAAGAGTGGAAGGCGAATTGAAGAAAAAACATTGGAACAAAGAAAGTGAATAAATAATCTAACCTAACACAGCAAAAACAATCCATATCACTTATTTTACCTCCCCCCCCCCAAAAAAAAAAAATAAAATAAAAAATAAATAAATAAAATTAACAACAAATATTAACCTCAGTGCACACCGTTGAATAAAAACTCAAAGTAAATGGTTTAGTTTCGTTCTCTCAAGGGGTCTTTTCGCTGCATTATCTATTTATCGCATCTACTGTAATTCAATCTGGTGGCTGAAGTAAGGATTAAATTTAAAACTTAAAAATCATTAATAAAGTACAGTACATCACGCGAGATCTTCCTAAGTTAGCCTAACCTGGCATCAAAGGTAACATCCTTAAATGGATTAGGGTGTGGTTACAGGACAGGAAACAGCGAGTGAGCATTAACGGCACTAAGTCCCATTGGAGCAACGTCACAAGTGGAGTTCCCCAAGGCTCAGTACTTGGACCATTATTATTTATTATATACATAAACGACATAGATATCGGCATAGACAGCAACATAAGTAAATTTGCTGATGACACTAAAATAGGACGTGTTATTAAATCTGACGAGGACTCCGCAAAACTATAGAAAGATCTAAACAAATTTTTCGAATGGTCTGAAAATGGCAGATGAAATTCAACGTGGACAAATGTAAAGTACTCAGTATAGGAGATGTAGACAGGGAAACCAGATACCAGATGAACAACGATGCCATAGAGAAATCCGACTGCGAGAGAGATTTAGGAGTAATGATAAGTAGGAACCTTAAGCCAAGTAAACAATGTGTTTTTGCTCGTAACAAGGCTAATAAAGTACTTGGGTTCATACAAAGGAGTGTTAGTTACAAGACTAGCGAGGTCATCCTAAAACTATATCTTGCGCTTGTGAGACCACACATGGATTACGCAGTTCAGTTCTGGTCACCATATTACAGAATGAATATAGAATCCTTGGAAAGAATTCAGAGGAGAATGACAAGACTATTCCCGGGCATTAGGAACCTTGAGTATAGAGACAGGTTAAAGCATCTTAATTTGCACTCCCTCGAGAGACGCAGAGCGAGGGGCGACCTGATAGAGGTGTATAAGTGGAAGGCAGGGCTAAACAAAGGGGACATTACAAAGGTACTCAAACTTTCCAACCGGGAGCGAACTCGTAACAATGGTTTTAAATTAGACAAATTTAGATTTAGGCGTGAAATAGGTAAACACTGGTTTGGATGAATGGAACAAGTTACCAAATATCACCATTAACTCGAATACGCTGAATAGCTTCAAACATAGGTAGGATGCTTAAATGAGCAATAGGGGTTGGGTGTAAACGGGACTGCCCAGTATGGGCCAATAGGCCCGCTGCAGTTTACTCCATTCTTATGTTATGTTAATTCTATGAGTTTTGGTTGAATCGTTACGTCTATAAAATAATAAATGATTTTGGTTAGGTTGATTCATGAAGTCTGTTAAATAATTGGTTAAAAATTTTGGTTGATTCGTAAGGTGGAGGAGTTCCATAACTGCTTTAGGTTTGGTTGAATCGTGGTCAATATTCATATATGGCTTTGATTTGGTTGGTTCATATGGTCAGTTACTCAACTTCATTATATGGTTTTAGTTTCGCTCGTTCTTGAGGTCAATTTCGTAAACGGGTTTTGGTGGGTTTGTGTATAGTCTATGACAGAATCAGCAAAATCGACATCATTCTTTAACAATAAGGAAAAACTTTGACGAGTATATAACGTTTTTTGTGCTATTCAAGTATGCATTTGAAGTGAATAAATGTTACTTTTTATTCCTACAATTACGTACTGGTCGTTTAAGTACTGATAATCACCGAACTATTGAGCTGCTACTTAAAGACATCGACATTTTCGCATCTAAATCTACGTTGTTTATATACATGCTAAACTGTACCATTATCTGTATTGTCTATTGTCTACAGTACATACAAGCTAAACTGTGTACTTGTATTGTCTACATACAGTAAATGTTAAATCAATTGTAAACGCTTCGATGATTTTACTGAATATATAACTACCATAACAAGCAATTAACCACTAGGCTTTTAAGTCAACCAATTTTCAGTTTTACTCACCATTTCACTGTAACTCCTATGTTGTGTATAACCCCGTCCTACTGCACTGAAATCACTTGTCCAACTCATCAGAAATACGGATTACTTTTTTTTGACTGGTTATAGCAGCTGTCATTTACTAAACTGTACTAGTTCAGTTATCTGTTATACAGTACACAAGTCTGCATAAGATTCCTCACTTCACATCACAAGCATTGTACGTAATCTTCCTTACATTTCTCCAGAATCACAACAAAACGTAAAATTTTCAAGATAGTGTAACAGGCCACTCTCAACACACACTAGCGACAATCCTCACACACCCTCCACTCTCGACAGAAACTTCACAACTAACTTCCCTATTTTCGACCATGTTGCAGTCACCGACACCTGCCTGCGTTGTAGCATGTCACTTTCCGAGCAGAGGGAATTAAATTACTTTTCCAGATAGATTTTATATTTTAATATTACAATGCACAATATTTAAATACAAATTATATGTATGTTTAAAATGTTATTTATAAGGTTATCAAGTTGTTACGTCCGTATAAATAATTTTAGCAAACGAGAAGTAGAACGCATTTCCCACTTTCTATAATAAAATATTTAGGGTAAACTATGAACTTCTTCTCAAAATAGTGTTTTCAGTTTTATCTAGTCCATTGATCGACTCGTTAGACGATATACAAAAAGGTCATTAAAAGTACTTTCCACAGAAGATGATTCAGTACACTTATATGCCCCATAGTAAAGAACGTTCAAACTTACTTTTATTTTAATCATTGATTAAAAAAAAAAAGAAATATCTTGTTTATCAAAATTCAAGTATTAAACACATGAAGATTACCTCTTTATTACTAGTGCGTTAAATATGTTTTTTCTATTCACCCCTCATGAACGATCATCCCGGTGTAAGGTCTGAAAATCTAGCTTCTTCCCAGAATATACCAAGGTATGGTTGAACATTTAAGAGCCGCCCAGGCCGATGCAACCGATGCACTTGCATCGCTCAAAAAGTTGCGACCGATTCAAAGGTATCATTATGCATAGGTCAAATAACTGACCCATCGGTAACGTGATCTCATCGTCAGTGTTGACTTGCGTGGCCCATCAGCTTTTGGCCGTAGCTGCGACTTTCTGTAACCGAGTGGCAAGTTTTCTGATTTTCAACTTCCGATGTCTCTGTTATGGGTAAAAGCGTCAAAATTGTTATAGGTGAAAATCGTCTTGCCTTTGTCTGAACTTATTATTAGAAAAAACTAACGAATTATGTCCTTTACTATAAACTGACCACAGTAGTGACACACTGTGGGCCAGAACAGAGACAATCTACAGGTATATTACAATATTATTATTATTAGCCATTTAATTAAAATGATACTCAGTTGATCTCTTTATGACTACAGTAAAACCTTTAAAATCATTCAAAGTTATTTATTTCCGTATTTAACATCATTCAGTCATTATAGCCCCACTCCCACATATACACTCATTCATTAAACTGTTTATTTACGTCCATTTTCTGTTGCGATAAAAGAAAATGAAACTTGTAACATGGGAGGACTTCTTTACCTTTTTATTATAGTTATAATGTACAGCAAATATTTTACTTAAGTGTACTTTATTATATTTCATCCTCTTCGCCACTAATAGGCCTGTTAGCTGTTGGGAGATCGGTTACGTCTGTTAGGCACTGTTGACATGTACTGGCTCTCTGTTACGCACTGTTGTCAATCTATATTTCTTTTTTTTTTTTTTTTACTTTTATCCTCTTCACCACTGATCGGCTCGTTAGCCGCTTGGGCGATCGGTCACGTCTCTGTTACGCTCTGTTGGCAAGTACTGGGCATGCACCGGCTCCTCTATGTATCTGAACCTGCTCCAGTGTTGATCAAGTTTGGTCTTGAAAGAGCTCACACTCGGTGTCGTCACAACACTTTCTGGTAAATTGTTCCAAGAGTTCACAACTCTCACTCCAAAAAACTTTGCCCTCACAGGTTTCTGGACCTGCGGCTTCTTCAATCTTGAGCTGAGCTGGACGTCTTGACATTGCCAACGTCTAACGCAGACGCTGAAAGACTATTTTCAAAATTGAACCTTACCAAAACAAAATGTAGAAACTCCTTGCAAATGCAAAACTAAATGCCCTTATCACTATGGAAGAATATGCCAAGTGTAAAGGAGTCGTGTGAATATCAACATCGCAGCTGTACAGCAACTAATTGTTGTAATTAATAAATAAAGTACTGATTTTTACATATACTGTATATACAGTATGTGTGTTCATTAAACAACATTAATTCAAACATTGCAGGGGCAGATCCAGGAATATCAAAAGGGGGCTTCAAGAAGTTGTGGGTGAGGGAACATGGCGCGCACAGTACGACCACCCAGCTGAGGTAAATTTTTTGAAATCTGCCCAATATCATGGACATTTTGAGGGCATGTGCACTTGATATTTGGAAACTTTCTGAAGTCAATAGTAATTACACTTTATTATACAAAATCGCCTTTAGACAACACTGCCCCTGCATTGTGTTTTCTCTTTGCCTTTTATTGGACGTGTTCATTGTGCTCAAAATATCTAAATTATACCTCGTCATTTGAAAGTTTTCTACAAAGAACTACTAATTACTTCCAAGAAAACGCGATCGGATGCAGGCAGTCCAGTCTGATGAACGGCTGGCAGCTGAGTGCAGAGGAGTCAACGTGTGCTGTTTCGTTATTTTCTGTGTTGTTGTTGTTGACAGTGAGTTAAAGAAACATCTGTTTATTGTGCATGTTTACTTGTTGTTGGTCCTCACACATGAAGGTCATCCCAGGACCCAATGGAACTTTTTACTGTAATATTGCTAGTATAGATGCACACTCGCAACAAAAAGTATCGGTGCATACTGTAGTGTGAACAATTTGAGACTAGTGACGATAGGTATTGGGAAAGGCGAGTTGTTCCAGCCGTGTTGGCAGCCCTGATTGTCAGCCATATGGCAACACCTAGTGGAGGGGGGGGGGGTTATGAGGATACACTTACCAACCTTCCCGACATATCACAGTGTATACGTATCGTTTCGGAACTCGTCGATCTCACCCTGCACCGATACTTTTTGGTGGGAGTGTACAGTATATATAGGGGCTGAGATTTGAAGAAATTTACACGGATGATGACGAACGCTCTATCAAATCACTTCGGGATTTCGGAAATAAAGGGCAAAATATAATCATATAAAAGTGTTTTATTTTTATACCCACATTTGTGTTGAAGGTATAGGTTAAGGGGGCCATCTCCACCTTATTTCCTGATAGTTTCAAAGGAAGTGTTAGAGATACCCGGTATGTTTGTGTTGATTAATGGAATACAAATTCTGTGTAGGTGAACATAAAATAACCCTGAAGTACAAAATTACAGTTTTTGTATTAAGTGCCACTATTAGCTCACCATTATTATCAAAATTTCTCATTGACTACAGGTGTGGAACACTAACGATGGCAGCAAAATAGACCAAGTAGGAGTGATGGAGAACAGTAACACATGTGCCTCCCTCCACTGGTTGCCCAATGTATAAGTTAATGTGTATTTATGTCTTTATCCCCACTAAATTTCCATTACTTAAATTTGAATAACTTGTCCATAAAAATCCCAACAAAAACTGGACGAAAGTAAGGTGACAACCACCTCCTTAATCTTTAAAGTACTTGTACTGTACTGTAGTGAGAAACGATATACAGTGGACCCTCGGTTAATGAACACAATTCGTTCCAGAAGGTCGTTCGTTAACCGAATCCATTGTTTCAATGGGATAATGGGTAATTGCTTCCAGCTCACCGAAAAGTACATACAAAGTAAACAAAAAAAGAAGTAAAGTACACCTACTTTGAGGTGTGTATGTAGAAGGCTCCTGGTTGATGATGATGGGAATTAAAAGTGGGGGTGGAAGAAAAGGGAGAAGAGAAGGAATTAGGGGTGGAAGAGAAATCACCCAATGCTTCATGCTGTCATTTCACCAATAAAATTTTAAGTTCACTAGGTGTAATTCAAGATTATTTTTTTTAAATCAACACTGCACTGCACTATATATTATCAATATGTTAAATAAATTTCAGAATGACTAATAATTGTACTGTATAAACATAAAAATACTCTTGTGTTCAAGAGAGCCACAAGCAAGATGTTACCTCCACTGAACAGAAACACAAACAGACGCCTTGGTGGGTGAGTGAAGTGGCTGATGGGCGCACCAAAAACTAGTTCTCTGTACTGCAATTATGTTAAATAAGTGTTAAAATGACTAATAATTTTAATATAAAACTTGGAAAAATATTGAAGAGCACAACCTTCTTGATATTTACTCCAATGGGAACGAATGCAAGCCCTAGAACCGATTACTGTATTAGCGGACTAATCTACCAGCCGATGAGCAAGCCAAAACATGTTGACATGTTTTCGTAAGAATTTTGTTATTTGAAATTTTGTTCGTTAACAGAATTGAAGATTCTTATGGAAAGTAATTCGTTAACCGAGGCGTTCGTTAACCGAGGGACCACTGTATGTCTGTTGTGTTGTCAATAGTAAGAGAAACAATTGAAATCTCTCTGTGTTCCTGAGATGCTAGAGTCCAGGCACCAGGCTGATGCCCCTCCTTTGGACATTTACAATGAATTAAAGTCTCAAACTCAGCAGACCATGAACATTCATGTTTCACTTTACATCATTAGAAGGCCTCTTACACTTTCTGAATACATAGAGATTATCACAAGATTTTGACGTGTGAGATGGGTTCACAAAGTTTTTTCACAAATGACTTTACAGTGTAGGTTTGAACCATATTTAATCACCCCGTGTTGGCACAGTTAACTAAAATGATAACAGTATCTGGCTCACTAGTCTGATGACTATACAAGGGTCATCGAACAAAGTGAAGGACCATCAAATGGGTCATGTATGATGGTTTACCATTAACCTTTAAAGGTCTGACATCGTCCAAGAGCACTTGAAGTAGTAGGGGTATGATGTCAATCTAGCGCTTCATTTTCTTTATTTTCCCGCATGAGTAGCGTGACTATTATTGTGGCAATAACTCATCCCCGCTCACCCACACTTCTCCTTGACTGCATCTTAAACAAATAATCAGTATAACAGTTGTCACCAAGAAGGAAGGTCGTGTGACTATCTCTTAGGATTACCCACTTAGAACTCCAGCTCCCAAGCCCTGCCACTCCAAGCCACATAATGGTGAATGTACAGTATATAGTACTGTATAATAATTAGAAACCATGTGAAGGTGTTATGAAGTTGTATGAACATGGAGTGAGTTGGAAGTGCACCACCATTCACGCCCAGACTAGAACATTAATTTTATGATTTTCATTTTTTAGTCTACTATTCAGTTTCTGAAGGGAGACTTCCCAAGATTTGTCAGACCTTTAACAATTAATACATATTTTATACATCTTATGAGGTTACACCATTTTCAGCGTTAGTGCTTTTGTCACCTTATAGTTTTTGTGCATCGATGAGTTCCATGTTCTCCAAAATACTATGAGAGAGACTGTCATCAATAAACACTGCTGCCACTGTTGAAGTCTGAGCAGAATTCCGGATCAAGCACGTAGGGAGGCCCATGGCAACACATTTTTGTCTCACATTAGAGACCTCTTCAGAATCAGTGCCATAATAGAACAGCTTCTTTTCTCTGTAAAACAATAAAATAAATAAGTAATCTACCTGACATAAATGGTGAAATGCCTAGAGCTAGATAGTTCATGTGGTCAGTGTCATGTCTTTGCGGGAACAAAATAAAAGGCTATAAATTTTAGGGCTTTTTCACCAAAATGGCTGGACCTGTATATATATACAGTATGTCATTCTAAATATATGATACATGAATATTAACATACAATTTTTAAGTAAATACCATAATAGTACTGTTATTGATATTTGTGGGAAAAATTATCAAAACCCTTTAACTGGTTTAAAAGTTCAGGGGACAAGAAATGGATGAATAGAAAAATTAAAGGATGAACAAAGAAAACAGCGACCGATTACTCCTCCCTTCAGAAAGCATAATAATCGTGAAAACTGTAGATGATATGACTTTTTTATAGGTTAAAATAATTATATTAACCCTTTCATACACTTGGGATGAGAGACACTACATACAAGAAAAGGACAGATGTTTCCTGCTCTGTTTTATATAACCTGGAGCAGCCATTACTCATATAATGATGTCATATGTCATCAAGAGTAAAACTTCACCCTCAAAAATTTCACAGCTGCTAATCTACCCAGCAAACACCAGGGTAGAAGGACATTTACCAGAACGTGAGTCTGGCAGCCTCGGGAGTGGCACCTGTGTATTTGGTAGACACAAACATAACCGAGAAGAAATATATGACATATTGATGTATAGTACTGTAGTAGTAAACAGAAATCTAATGGTGATGATGAAGTTTAGCTGGAGTATACAAATGACCTGTCAGCAGATGTAGATGCCGGGAAGATGTAGTGGCCCAATATACTGTATATCGTACTGTACTGCTAGTGATTTGAAGCTGCTAACCAATGTTTCTTCATTCTTATTTGAAGTTTTATGACTTTTTATATTATACTTAACTAATTTATCAGGTAATTTAAAAAAGAAGAAGATAATAATAAGCCCAGGACACAAAAACTGACTGAACTTAAGACTGTCTCTAGCCAACACAGCATATTCTTACCCATCCTTCTCCCATTCTTGGGTGATGTTTACATAGTCCTTGCCATTTCCAATAACCTCCTTGTAAAGTCCCAATACAGCATAAGTTACCTGTAGGAAAGATATATTTCAGTGATTTTTCTCATTATATACTGTATCACAGTACAATATTAATATCCTGTACTGTAATCATATTAACTTAATCAGTCCCCAAAGTATTTATTGCCTCCTGGAAATTTTATTCTACATTTCCTCAGCATCAAAACATACCATAATACAGTACAGTGATCCCTCGGTTAACGAACACCTCGATTAACGAAATTTCGGTTAACAAATTACCTTCCATAAGATTCTTCACTTCGGTTAACGAATTCCTTACAAAATTTTTCCAACATGTTTTCGCCTGCTTTTGCCTGCTCACCAACTGTAGTATTATAGTCCGCCAATACAGTAATCGGTTTTAGGGCTTAAATTCGTTACCATTTGAGTAAATATCAAGAAGGTTGTACTATTCAATAATTTTCCAAGTCTTATATTAAAGTTTTTAGTCATTTTAACAATTATTTAACATAATTGAAGTATAAGGAACTAGTTTTAGCATGCCAAACAGCCACTTGACTCCCCCAGAATGGCATCACTTTGTGTCTCTTCTCAGTGGAGGAACCATCTTGCTTGACTCTCTCTAGAACATAAACCATTTTTACGTTTTTGCAGTACAATTATTGGTCATTCTGAAGTTTATTTTACATGTTGACAAAATATATAATGCAGTGCAGTGTTGATTTAAAGAAAATAATCTTGAATTACACCACGTGAACTAAAATTTTATGGGTGAAATGGCAGCATGGGGTGACTTCTCTTCCACCCTAATGCCTTCTCTTCTCCCTTCTCCTCCACCCCCATTTTAATTCCCATCATCATCATCATCAACCAGGAGCCTTCTACATGCACACCTCAAAGTAAGTGTACTTTACTGCATTTATTTTTAGTTAATATGTAATTTTTGGTGAGCTGGAACCAATTACCCAAAATCCCATTGAAACAATGGTTTCGGTTAACGAAATTTTCGGTTAACGAACGACCTTCTGGAACAAATTGTGTTCGTTAACCGAGGGAACACTGTACAGTACAGTACAAGGTACTGTAATGGTATACAGGGGCCTCATGAAAGTGGTTATATATATATACCAAAAGGGGGTCTTTGTGAGTTTGCAACTTCTATTCTACATCTCAGTGAATATATAGTAAATTCAAATATTTCTGGCACTAACCTGAGGTGCAATCTGGCTGATCCCCGAATACAGCTGTTTGTTAATTATGAACACCATCTTGTACTTCTTTGTAGTTTTGTTAGTTACACCACTTGTAGTATTTGTCACACAAGGTTTATTACTTACACCACTTGTAGTGTTTATCACAGGTTCTTTACTTAAACCACTTGTAGTGTTTGTCAGACTAGGTTTTTTAGTTACACCACTTGTAGTGTTTATCACAGGTTCTTTACTTACACCACTTGTAGTGTTTGTCAGACTAGGTTCTTTACTTACACCACTTGTAGTGTTTGTCAGACTAGGTTCTTTACTTACACCACTTGTAGTGTTTATCACAGGTTCTTTACTTACACCACTTGTAGTGTTTATCACAGGTTCTTTACTTACATCACTTGTAGTGTTTATCACACAAGGTTCTTTACTTACACCAGTTGTAGTGTTTGTCAGACAATCTTGCGCTTGATTCTCTATAAACAAATATAATGCTGCTATATTTTTAGCTCAATTCATAAACAGTGACATACAGTACATATGATACAGTACCTACACAGATGATGAAAGTGACTGAATATATGAAAGAATAATGTGGCAATTTCTTATGACACTTAGGCACCTACAATTATCCCCACTACTTTACCTTCACTTGCATAAACAACATACAAAACTCATAATCAGAATCCTGGTTATTTCTGACAATAATACAATAATGTTCAACTGGAGCAATGTATATGGCATCAAAAATACCTGAGAGAAACAATACACTTCTCACTAAAAATCAATATACTGTATCTACTGTACAGTACTATCATGAGACAATAAAATTATTAGAGAGAAGGAAAGAAGCTGGTGAGAAACACAATAGTTATAGACAGAAAGAGAAATACAAAAAATGCACTGTAATTCAGAATATGGGCTGTCACAAGTATGCAAATGTAACATGACCATGGTAACCATATAGAACAGGTTTATAGGCATGGGACATTAACATATTGAGGGCGTGCATGTGTGGCAGGCCCGTTAAATCTAAAAATTTTCCTTTAGTCCAAAGAAATTTCCACTAGCCCATAATTGTTTTTGAAATGTGTGGGGATATCTTTTACAACTCTTAATGGCAGAAACAGTGGCCAAAGCATCAGCTTGCCCTTCAGTCAGGGTTGGCTGAGGGGAGGATTGATGACTAAATGCATCAAAACTGGTCAATAACCATCTCAAATTATGCTTACATTCCTTAATTAATGCTTATTATGCTTGCTTTATATGTCTGCTTTTTTTTATTGCTTGACAGTCTAAACAGAGAAATATCAAGGGTAGATGGGAGTTTGTGAGAGATGCTGGTCCATAACCTCCTAAATTTGTTACATTCTTATGGGATTTATTGCCTTAAAAATCGTCGATTCCCTATCCGTTGACTTTCCACAGTCTGCATATAGGTCGGTTATCAAGGTATACCTGTACAGTACTCAAGTGCCACCCAAGCCTACTCTTGCACAGTACAGCACAATACAACATAATTATACAGGATGTCTAAAATATATTACACACACCGTCTTACAGATTACTGTGGAGACTATATGTGTGTGTGTTTGAATTACAACAGCAACATTGTCCTGACTTGTAGGAGACATCACATAACATTGTCCTCACTTGTAGGAGACCTCACACAACATTGTCCTCACATGTAGGAGACCTCACACAACATTGTCCTCACTTGTAGGAGACCTCACACAACACTGTCCTCACTTGTAGGAGACCTCACACAACAGGTGAAGACAATACTGTACAGGTATACCTCGTTTAAAGATGGGGTTCTGTTCCCAAAATACCTAACACTAAGCAAAATTATCACTTAACAAAGGGATAACACCAAAACATGGAGGGTGAAAAACAGGTTCAAACGGCAGGGCGGTAAACACTGAGTAGAGTAGAGTAGAGTAGAGTAGAGTAGAATAGAGTAAAGTAGAGTACAGTAAAGTAGAGCATAGTACAGAAGTAGTACAGTACTGTACTCCCTAATTATAATAAAAAACATGTTACTGTAGTTATAAATGGTTTTGAAGTTATATATAATTGATTTATTAATACCAAACTTCTATACAAAAATGTAATTCAGTGTTAAATAATTTAGTGATCAAAATGTGAGCATAATTTGAACAAACTGCAAATTGCATGTAAAAAAAAAATGCTTTGATAAACAATAAAATTGATACACAACATATCATAAAATACAATAGCACAATCTTCTGCACAAAAAATAGCTCCTTCCACACTCAAACCATCCTATGGGCGAAGTGACACAGTTTAACCAGGCAGTCACCCAGCTGACTCAGACATGTCACATCATGAAAGTGAGCGTGACTAGCTGGTGAGTTGGTGACGCTATTACAGTTCATTACTCCGCACACATACACACCCATGCTCATCGACTTCCTTATTTTATGTTTTTACATTTTCTTTATTTCTAAGCAACATTAGAGTACAGTATTGCAAAGATTTTTCTATGAGTTTATAGTTTCATTACACAAAACAAAGGCAATACACCATCTCACAGACCACCTCATCCCCAACGTCAAGCTATCTTTACACCAAATTTTGACCTAATGTTAAGTGATAAAGGGTGTCGTATTTTTTTTTAGCCCCAAACCAAATTAATGCTAAGAGAATTAACACTAAACAAGGGATACCTGTATTGCTGTATTGATACAAGCAATTGCATATCTACAAAAACCTGTAGGCAGTGTATACAGTACCTGTATACATATTTTTAAACCACTTAAACAAAATGAAAATCTTTTCTTTATATCTATTATATTATACATTCAGAGGTGTAAAATTTAATCATCAACATACAGTACTTCAGCTTCTTATCTCAAAGTTCACCTTACCTAATGCTTGGTTGTCTGGGTCAGGCAGGTTCAGAGGAGAGTCATCATCAACTTCCACCAAGTCCACAACAGGTATAATGCTGTTGTCCTCAGAAAGTCTGGGAAGTATAAGGCCATGTAGAGCAAATTAGCAACAAGATACATTCAATCATTGTGCATAACTGACAGACTTAACTGAATGAAATAATGTACCTTTTTTTTTTTATTGCAAGAAAAACAAAATGTAAGTTATGGTTTTTCATTCTGGGTACAGAAGAAACACAACATGGCTTACCTACTGTCTTGACCCACACGTCTTTTCTTCCTAACATTTTCTTGAGAGTAAGCAGATGATTTTTTTCTCTTTTGTATTAAAACTCTTTTGCAATTACGCCTTATAAAATTTTTTAAGTAAAAGCGTAGAGAAAACAAATCTGCTTCTAAAGCATTCACTGCCACTTTCTCTATGTGTGGAACAAGTGAACAAATGTCTTGTATGCAGGATTCTCGTCGTCTGTTTATATATGACTCCCAAGATTCTGTTTCTAGAAGATGGTGAGTAATGATTAAATATGCAAATGGATAAACATCATAAGGTAAAATAAACACAAGGATACATTATGTCAAAAGTGAAAGTATGCAAAAGAATAATTAATACGTATCATGATATAAACAATAATCAAATACAGTACAGTACATAAAAGTATATACATGTACATTATAATATCATAATAAAAGTGACAGCACAGATAGCTCTCAATTGTATTTTCTCAACAAGAACTTGGTTCACACAAACACAAATTATTTTTCCATCAAAATTTCATTTAGTACAGTATACTGTACTTTACTGTACTGGGGTAAGGTTCACCATTACTGTACCCAACTGCATCTCTGCAGACTCCTTCCCTTCATTGCCTTACTTCTTCCAAGCTAACACATTAACATCACTCATTCAGCTGGTAATCATAGTACAGTGCAGCTTCCACAATTAAAATACTGTACAGTATAACACTGTACATTATTCTGTCGGGTTTACTGAACATATTGGACAAAATGGTTATTGTCATTAGAAAGTAGATGATAAGGTAGGTCTTGAAAGCAAGTATAAAGGGGGTGGTGTGGGTAATCTTAATTTTCTAATAATGCAAAAGGCCTTCTCTACAATGGCCACAGATTTAGAGAACACAAACAAATAAATTGGTAAAAAATAAGCCTTTGGAGAGATACTTGAGATTAACAGACCCACCATCATCAGTGTGGTGACTCTCGGCGGTGGAAGACTCATCGAATATAATGGGACTCTGGTTGTTCATGTCCCTCTGTGTAAAGGACATTTCTTCACTGTTACTATTTTGTTCACATATTCTGCAAATAAAAGATGACAATGGGTATTTTCTGTACACTGGAAGATTATTTTGTTCATATGTTTTGCTAATAATAGTTGACAATGTGTGCTTTCATTATTTCTTTTTTAGTATACTACACTAATGACTTTAAGAACAAACTGTACATTATACAATAACATCAGTTGACAGGACCGTCTGTGGTAAATTATTAATTTTGTATCCTTAATTGTTTGAATGTTATGATTGAAATCTCCTGCTATTAGCTTCATCCCCCCCCCCCCTAAGTAAGATGGTGGAAAACTCCCCATGCCCTCTCATGAAGTAAAAAAATCTCAGAATCTTGCAGTAACACTGAGACTCTGGTAAGTGCTGCTATATGTTGGAGCCAGTGGTAAACTAAAGCATGATCAATGATAACTTCACTTGTTCTTATGCTCCCAAGACAAAACCATATATGCCAACAGTAAATCTTCTTTCACCATAAATCAGCTAAGATAAGGACATTATTACAGTCAGTCCCCTACTTACAACAGGGTTAGGGACCAACGACATAGGTTGTAAGTCAAATTGGCCGTAAGTCGAAAATGCGAAAATAATACATAGAAAATCTAAAATGGGCGTCTCTTTTTCTTCTCAGCACCATGAGAACTCTCACTTTTACGCTTGCCAGCCATTTTAAAGGGAATTACAAATAAAAATGTTGTCAGTACACAGCGTGATCACTAACATTGGGACTCGAAAATACGTAATTTCAAAAATATTTTATACGACTGCGGCGGTCGTATGTCCGGGTGGTCGCAAGTCGAGTTGGTCGTAAGTCAAGGAGTACCTGTACATCAAGCATGATATCAATATGAATGTGTACTATGTGTGTTGCTATTCTATACAGGGCGCACGCACGCACACACACACGTGTGTGTGTGTGTATATATATATATATATATATATATATATATATATATATATATATATACAATATATATATATATATATATATATATATATATATATATATATATATATATATATATATATATATATATATATATATATATATATATATATATATATATATATATATATACATATATATATACAGGTATATATAAAGATTTACTGTGTTTTGACGAGATACAAAGACAGGAAATGAAGTTTGCATCGACTCAGCTGGCATCCCTTCTAAATTCTGCTTGATCCCTTTAAAATGTCTCCCTTTCTTTACAAGGCATTATGAGTACAATGAAGAAGAAGACACGTATAATAATAACAGCTGGTCTTTTGTTTCCCAATAGCGCCAGTTCTTCTCAAGAATTCAATAGTGCTCGAAACAGACCAAAGTGAAAGACTTAAGAATAAAAAGAAATTCTCTTCTGTTAGACAATAAAAGATCACAATAAGTGACTGTTCAACCCACACTCTTCCCCTGAATAAGTCTTCATTTGGGTTATTGAATTTCTGAATCCTTTCTGAATTAAAATGCAATCTATCTGATTTTTAACCTTGTTATTTACATTGTCCTGGGGTGAGACCCATGAATAAAGATGCCTAGGGTGTTGTTCATACTACCTGTATGTACGTATACAGTATTTGCAATTCATCTTGTTTGCTTTACATGTCAATTAATATTTCTCCTCTCATTTCTGTTCCCCAACCCAACCCATTTGGCCCCACTTTTGGTACTTTACTCCCTTTCCCAACTTTTGCACTACAATCACCCATTACTGAATATTCAGACATTCATTAAACTTCTTGGTGTCTTTTGCTTTCTTTAAATTTTAATAAAAATTCTTTAAGACTTCATCCTCACTATCATTTGTTAGTGCTGTACACTATTACAGTACAGTATTACCAAGTCCATGGATTTGGCATTAAACTTGACTAACAAAACTCTATGTGACACTACCCAATATCCCTTTACACTATTGCTCAACTTCACCTAACCCCAGAATGCCTCATTGCAATCTTTTCATTCCCCTACAAACATTTGCATAGTTACCAGCCTCATATAATGTCCTCATATTTCATGTTCCAAGTTTGAATTCTTTTTTGCAGGGGAAGCAATGCAGTTGGACCTCTTGATGACGATGATCCAACAGGAATGCCTGGAAATTGTTCATTGTGTCTTTCCATGGTTTTTCATGGGCAAGAAATGAAGTTAATGAGAATGGATGCCCCAAACCTATTCTCATCAGAAGATTAATTAATGGAATAGAAAAAGTTGGGAATGAACTCTGGGTTGTAGAGGTCGCCCACACCTAAGGTAAAGAACCAGCTCACAGAAAACATTAAAATATCAATTTCCTTTCTTGATGGAGAAATTGCACTCTTAAAGAATACTCATAAAATTTTATGATGCACTAAAGGGGTTGAACCTTTCCTGCAAGTTCATAACACCATAGTGCACATCACATCTGGTATTTACTTTGAAAAAACAGAATAGCAATCATATTCAAGAACTGTAACAACTGGCTCTTATAAACTACTTACTGTAAGCCTGGAGGTTCTCTTTCACGCTCAACTTTTCTGGTTTTCCTTGTCCCATTCTTGTCATTTTGCCTGCAGACATTACATCGCGATACCTAAGATGCAAAATAATAATTATAATAATACAGTAAAAACAGTCATTATCAACAGCAAAAAGTCACTAATATCATTCTGCACTTAAAATATATATTGAGCAGCTGTTTTTGCCAACTTTGAAAACATATCTATGGGCTGTTTCAGATAAACAGTACAGTATATTGTACTGTATGTACAGTAGATCGATGGACATTTATTCAGTGAGATTATCATGCTAGTTTACACTGGTTCATCATGTACATATATTAATGAAGATCTACAATTTATAATTAATTTATATAATGTACATACATACAGTATACATAGACAATGCAGGTATACAAACAATGGTAAAATAGTAAGCCAATTTGTCTGAGGATAGTCAACAAAGCTATCAGATGCTTCTCTTCCATATGATGTTATATGATAGTGACTGGGTAAAGTACCCACAAAGACACTGTGTGTCCCCCAATACTGTACCAAACTAAAATAGTTATGGTAACTGGAATAAATTCCATCTGTCAAATTGCAGTAAATTAAAAACCCATAAAATTTTTAATGGGGGCATTTTTAACTACCATTGACATCTCCTGACTTTTTTAAATTTACTTTGACAAAACTGGTTAAATCATGTCTAAATTTAAATACAGTAAATGGAAAGCAAAACTTGTTATAACGGAAATTTGGGTAGCAAATTTGAAAACGTCACCCTCAAGATACGAATTTTACACACTGTATCATTAGATAAACATATAGGAAAAACGGTTAACCCCAAAAAATAAAAAATAAAATAAAAAAAATAATAAAAAAATAAAAATAAAATAAAAATAATAATCATACCCCAAAAACACAAAATTGGTTTACAAACAAAAGCAAAACCTACACAACTGATGATAAACAGTACACAACTACAATAATTTACTACCAAACACATGAAATTACACCATAATCATACAGACTAATTTTCCTGCATGTGGAAAATTCTGTACAGGTATAAGAAAATTATTCGAACTCTCTTAAATTTCACATGCTAAAGGTGTAGAGTTGTAAGAGAAAGTTTAGGATTTGGAAATAAAAAAAGTTTGGAGGCGTGGAGACTACCAACAACACTCGAAAGATGATGCAATAATTCATCAGCAGGTGGGAACACAGAATGGGAATTTAGACTGCTCAAGTCCTCTGTGAAATAGATTATTTTGTAAATATCTTTGGATGACATACTTTGCCATATAGACAATATGTACAGTAGCTAAATCAACTATCTGTGCATACTTTGTGGGAAACAATACGAGACCATAGACGATAAATTTTGGTTTAAGAGGGCTGTCACTAGTCACACAAAATTTCAGAACATATCAACCTCCACCTGCACAGATATATGTTTTAGCTACTGTGCATGTATCATTTCATGATATAATCATTGTAACTTTTATACTAATTCAGTGGTACAGTACATTAGCCTCCACCATATTAAACAAAACTTACATAAGATTTAACATCCTGCTTCACTCCATTCCACCAGTACTTCTGGGAAATTCGTAAAACTGTACTGTTGATGCTACAGTGTACACCTGCTATTGGTGCATCTGCTAAGTGATGCAGGGAAATTATAGTGTTGCGTTCTTCAAGGGATGTCACCACCTTCAGATACCTCTCACCCTTCTTGTGAAACAGTTGACTATCTGCCAAACACAAGTTCTTTATAGAAATTCGCATATTTGTGAACATCTCATAGTATCAAATCAGAATCAGTCTTGTGTACTAATTTAAGTTCTTCATTACCCCTAGAAATTAAAACACAATTTCAATAATCACTGTATGGTAATATAAGTAAACTTCATATGTAAATGAACAAACCCACTGAACTGACATTAGCAATGTTCAAAAAGTATTAATCTGTATTATTCTTTTTTCAGCTGATGACCAAGACCAAATATGCTGACAGGGAATAATAAAACATATCAATACAGTACAGTAGTAGGTTAACATACTAAATAGTACCTTTAAGTGTGAAACTGTTGTTTCGGACTGAGTGACGCACAGATTTTTTTTGGATGGCATTGTAATTTTTCGGGTATTTTCCAGTCCTCAAGTATATTTTGATGCCAAACATGTACTTTGAGAAGTTTAAAAACTTAGCATCCTCTGTTTCTATATCCTCAGCTTCCATCGTTAAGGTCCTGGAGAAAAAATAAGGATGAAAAAGGTACAGTATACTGTCGGCCTACATCCTCCACACATCCTGCCATGGAAAATAAATGAAGATTTAAAATACTGTACTGTATATAGTACTTCATATTAAGTTCTAGTATGGAAGAGTGGTTTAATGTGAGGTAATGGCTGTATCCCTCACAAATAGCAGCCAAGAGAAGATTTTTTTTTTTAATAAATCGTTGATACTCTCGTACATTAGGAGAAAAAATTGATGTTTGATGCAGCTCTGGCACATGACTTTATTATATCTTTTAGTGGATTTTCACTAATATGCTTAATTTGATACCTAGTGCTGTATGCAAATTGGCAAAGGATGGAGGTAAAAATAAGTTTGAAAATCACTTATGATGGGAACCACATGAACGAGCCAAATATAACCTAACAGTCCTTGGATACTTACGCTGAACTTAAAATTTACCCAAACCCATTTATTTTCTGCAATGTTAAAACATGATTAGTACATTTTGTAGTTACAGTGACCCCTCGGTTAACGAACTCAATCCGTTCCAGAAGGTCGTTCGTTAACCGAAAAGTTCGTTAACCGAAACCATTGTTTCAATGGGTTTTTGGGTAATTGGTTCCAGCTCACCGAAAATTTCCTAAATTCAACAAAAATGGTAGAAAAGTTCACTTACTTTGAAGTGTGTATGTAGAAGGCTCCTGGATGATGATGATGATGTGCATTTGAAGTGGGAGGTGGAGGAGAAGGGAGAAGAGAAGGCATTGGGGTGGAAGAGAAGTCACCCCATGGCACCATTTCACCCATAAAATTTTAGTTCTCTTGGTGTATTTCAAGATTATTTTCTTTAAATCAACACTGCACTGCATTATATATTGTCAATATGTAAAATATATTTCAAAATGACCAATAATTTGCTTGGAAACACAGAAAAAAAGCGTTTAGTTGAAGAGAGTCTCAAGCAAGATGTTACCTCCAGTGAAAACAGAGAGAGACTAACGCCTGTTTGCTGTGTTAAGAGGCTGGATGCTGCGCATTAAACTAGTCACTTTACCTTCAATTTTGTTCAATAATTGTTAAAATGACTAAAAAATTAAATATTAAACTTTTAAAATTATTGAATAGTATAAACTTCTTGATATTTACTAAAATAGTAAGGAATTTAAGCCCTAGAACCGATTAATGTATTGGCGGACTGATACTAAAGCTGGTTGCCCGGCCAGTGCAAGCGAAAACATGTTGAGGTCGGTTTGTAAGAAATTCGTTAACCGAATTGAAGATCCTTATGGAAGGCAGTTCGTTAACCGAAATTTCGTTAACCAAGGCGTTCGTTAAACGAGGGGTCACTGTATATGGTCCACACTGAAGACTAGAAGTGATTCAACACAAGTACAGTATACTGTAAAGTACTCGGTAAGCACCACTCTTTTAAGTTTGTGTGCCAAGTATGTACTATTATAGCAGATGGTCGTTCAATTAGACATCGGCACAGAAAGATTCGTTTTATACCATAACAGGAATTTAATAATAAAAATGGGTTTTTCTTAAGCTTCTTATGGTAATTTGAATATGACCTTTATTTCCACAGGAAATGCATATTTATGGAGATATGACCCTTTAACACTAGCAACGACAATTAGTTCTTTCAATGTGGGCAGGGCTTTGAAGACGCGGAAAAATGCGAGGTTATAACATAAAAAACAACAAAGAAACCTTTGAAAACCCGACCTAACCATTCCTAATCTATTTTATAACCTATAAAACAAGATCTTACTTTATTTGATCAACTAATATTGTAGGTAATTGTGGGGGGGGGGGTCATATCGGTTAAAACACTTGAATAAAAAAAAAATTTGAGGGAAACACTATAGGATAAATAATCTTTGGTTAATATTGATGACAAACTCGCCGACGTGCTATTTGTTTTGATGTTTATTTTCTTACCATATTTTCATCAGTGAGTTCTGATATGATAATCATTTCTTGGGCATATGCTTCATTTGGTAGATAATTAGGCACCTAGGCACCAATCATATTGACTTACAGTATTTCAAAACACTCCACCGCCCTCTTCTGTTCCAGTTTCATTTTCACCATGGCAGGTGTTGCTGGTCTTACAAGGGTATTATTTATGATTTCAGGGGGAAAGACAATCTCACCCTCCAGTTTTTCAAAGACCACAGCATCCTTGCCTTCACAAGAGACTGTGCAGACTATAGGAATCCCTGTGTTTTCATACCAGAGTAATTCGTTCCAGTGCAATAAAAAACACATTAATAAAAAATATAAACGGCTTAAGCATTGTGGTTACAGTTACAAATTGTTTAAAGGAACTTGGCTTGAACACACTAAGATTAAACCCAGAAAGGTACTTTTATTTATGAACATATTTCTGAGAAAGTACTTTTCACAGCAATACTGTGAAACTTAACTGTGTTTGTGTGCAAAGTCTGTTGTATAATATACAACAGACTTTGCCGCCCGGGCTGGATTAAAGCTGGTGCTCTCACGTCAACATAAAAAGTAAAATTACGCTATACCGGGGGTCCGCGGTAAGGAAGTAAGGTTAGGTAGGTTTTTTTTGGTTAGGTTGGTGAGGTCTCTTTTTCATACCCACTAATAGTTAGGTTAGGTTTAATTAGAAATGACCACTTTTTAACACATTTGCACAAACTAAAACAGTTTCCACTATGAAAAACAGTGAAATTGCGGCATTTTTAAAATAGTTTTCTACGAAAATTCGGCTGCGTGACAGTCGTCAATAATTACCGTAACTTCTAAAAATTAACTGCAAATTAACTTAAACATTGGGTTACAATGGAGTGGGTAAAGTTTTACTTTCAGACAACACGAGAATCTTAGAAATGTTATCTTTGCAATCAATAGTTTAGACAACCTTGCAAATGACCTGACCTAACCTCTTAATTGGGGCTCGCCCCCCCCGTACATATATAAGTTGTTTGCGAGAGAAACGTCACAAAAGAAAAGTGTCTTAGAATTGTCTAGGTCAATATTTAGAAAATGACACCAAGCAACTGAATATTGAAAATAGGTTTTTACAGTGTAAATCATCATGTTAAATATAAATATGACCTTCATTGCCGTCAGAAATGAGCAGTAGTTGAGATATTGGAAAAAAATTGGAGGGTCAAACAATGTAAAAAAAAAAAACCCTAACCTAAACCCTACAGTAGTGCATAAGAAACTTACCTTAAGTAAGTGATATAGGAGGATAAAGTGATGCGACTTGAATGAGGAAGTGGCCGTCAGTGGCCGTCTCTTATCAGTACCATGCAGGATGATCTACACAGTATTGACACTCTTGAATTACATATTGGACACTTTACAGATGAAACAAAAACACCGTCAGTCCTGAAAAAGACAACAGCTGCTGCTTAATTGTCCAAAATGCGCTGAATAATGCGGCAGCCAGCCAATGTACGTCCATCTCACACAGACACCATCTTCCAACTGGCCGTGAACGCTAATTAGTGCATGAGTAGTATGTCACATCAACACTCACACTGATTGGCCAAATATTAAACTTCACTTTTTTTTTACTTTTACTCGAAAACTATAAATTTCCGACGAACACATTAAAGAATAAATTATTTTGATTTATTTTTTCTCTATCTCCCATATATGATTCAATATTCAGTTGGCTGGTGTCAGTTTCTAAATATTGACCATTGTCCAAACTACTTATTCAAATTGTTAAATTTCTAAGATTCTGGATGATCGAAACTAAAATAATACAGTGGAGGGAGCACATGTGTTAACTGGTCTATTATGCCTGCCATCAATAGTGTTTCACACCTGAGAGAATTTGATAATATGGTAACAGTTGATAGTGGCACATCACAGAAAAACTTTGTGATTTTATACTAAAGTTATTTTCGGTTAATATTCGTCCATTGGCTGTCCACAGGTTCCCGACATGTTTACCTTAGGTTATATTCCTCATTTAAGAGTCAGTTTTCTCCTACTTACCTCTTCCTCCTTGTAGGTCAGGTTAGGTTAGGTAGGTCGGTTCCTTTAATATGAGAATAGATTTTGTTGTATATTTTGGTGTGTTTTACTCAAATTTGACCTCCATTTTTTTTGCAAATTAGCAGATTCTGTTAAAAATTAAACTTTTTAATTTTTTGCAAAAAATGCAAATTTGCAAAAGAAATTATGGTCATTTTTCGTAAACCACCCATCACCTTTTCCCGATTTTGTTTTATCTTGCCACTTAATAGATTTATTCAAGAAACGAAAGAATATACTGTACTTGAATTTAGCGGGGCATTCCAAAAACAAAGGCGATATTTGTGATTTATTTGTTGTAATAATCACAAAATTTTTCTAAGTCCCAATTTGATGTTATGGTTTGGTTAGGTTAGGTTAGGTTAAGTTCATACGTAGACCTAGTTTAGTTTTTACCTTTTTTCCCATAAGCTAGTTCTCTTGGTGTTTTAGATGATTCCGAATTTGATTTTGGGTGAGAATCATCAGTTTAGCCCCTCAAAAAAATAATAATAATAAAATAAAATAAAATGTATTTCCAATGTGGCCCCCTACACTGTTGCGGTGGAAGGGGGGGGGGTGAGAATTACTATATATATAAAAAAGTTATTTGCCCCAAAGATAAATGTCAGAATAGTCTAAAACAAGAAAACTAGCGAAAATAAAAAATTTTCATGTGAAAATTGGTGATGGGTGGTTAACGAAAAATTACCTATGTGAGTAAAACACACTGAAAAACGTACAAAAAAACTTCTCAAAACCTGAGGACAGCCAATGAACGAATATTTACCTTATTTAATTTTTTCCAACACAGAATTTGTATTCTTCCTTTGAAAATATCAGGAAATAGGGTGGAGACGGCCTCCTTAACCTATACCTTCAAAACAATTGTCAAACATAAAACACTCTTATATTATAATTGTATTTTGCCAATGCAGCATTAGTAAATATGACAAATTTTGTGACAAGAGGTACCGGTATGGCCAGCATAAGGACAGAACCAGACAATGTGATGTAGTGGCTAGAATTAGGCTAGGATACAGACACATGTGACAGGTTAGTAACGCTGTACCCATACCGGAACACTCACCATGTAAACTTTGTGATAAACCTTTAAAGCATACACTTGAACATTATATTATTGAATGTCACACTGTTAAAGACGTGTATACAGTGGCCGCTTTAACTCACTGTCAACATTCACAACACGGCCAAGGAATATAGAATGAAGGAAGGAAATTGAATTATCCGTAAACCTATTATTTTCTTCGTGGCCTCAAATTGAGTGGGACATCATAAAAAAAAGTTTTGCTAATACACGAGTAACTACTTTAAAAAAAATTCTTCAAAAGCACTTTTTTTTTTTTTTTATACTTCATGGCTGTTGGTGTTAGGCGCCATATCTAAATCTCAAGTCACAATAACCAAGTGACTCACCTTTGGCGAGTCAGACCAGCAAACTACCAGTAAAACTCGCAAATAATAAGTACTTTATACTTTTATCCACTTCGCCAACGATTGGCTCGTTAGCCGCATGGGCGATCGGTCACGTCTCTGTTACGCACTGTTGGCAAGTATTCCAATCCTCTATCCTCTATCCCAATCCCAAGCCTCTATCCCAATCCCAAGCCTTTATCCCAATCCCAAGCCTTTATCCCAATCCCAAGCCTTTAATCCAGTGCCCTCCGTGGCTACGCTGGTGTTATGAAAGTAAACCAAATGATTCCATTATAGCGTAACACAGAGCTTTATGCACGACCCTTCCTGAATTTTATTTTACCTGGCCTTGAAAATACTGTTTTGTTTAATAAAAAAAAATAGTCGAAAACAAAGAAAATGTTTGAGGCGTCCTTACAAAATTTGATGTAAACAACTTTCACCACCTGGGGCCTTAACAGGTGACTCACGTTATCATATTTTTCGAAAATGTATTACTATCAGGTAAGGTAAACAGTCTTCAAAAACACACAAACAATTCAACCATTTCCTTTAATTGTGCTTTGGGTTTATTAGCTTCTACATTTACAACATTTATGAGTAGTATTTTTGCTTGTGATTATACTGTCTGGCAACACAAACGGATATACATCTTCGGGTCGAGGGAGACTACACCTTACGGGTTACCAAGGTGAGGTCAGACAGTGGACAGACGCGGCCACGAGCCGAGTCAGGTCAAGCAGCTGTCTCCTTGTTTCACAGATCATTGAAAATTTTTTAATCAAGAAAAATACTATTATTAAATGGCTGCAAACGTAAAATCAGTAACAAGAGTGACTAGACACTTGGTAACGATGTGGTGCCTTGTGTTCCTGGCAGTAATGTCAAGTGTGGGGGTGATGGGAAAGCCAGTAGACTCGTGGCTGATACTGGACCCTTACCTGACACTGCGTGAGGTCAGCCTGCCCGGCGACCCTGCTCTAGGTGAGTGTTTCTCTGACCTCAGTGTCGCTTCACACTCACGTTTGTTTTAGTGTTAATAAGACTCTATCTCTAGAGTCTAGACTTTATATTCCATTCATTTAAAGATTCATAATTTTACGGTAGTTCTTCTGTTATCCACGCACATTTTGGAAGAAGACTTCAGGTCTATCTTTCCAAAAATCAGTTACACCACACCACTGCTTAAAACACTACAAATTATTATTTTTAATGAACTCCATCATTGTCTCTGCAGAGCGCCTGATGACGTCACTAAGGGGTGAGGGACAGCGGCTGAACGGAAATGACCCAGCCTGGCAACATGTAGCCACAGTCCTCGTGCCCTCCACCAACCACGGCTTCTATACCAACAACATACACCCCGCAACTCACCATCCCACGATGGAGTCTCCTGGGGGTGGTGATGACCAAGTTGTACCAGAGGTAGTGACGGACCTAGCACTCTCACACAATACTCCAACATCAGATGGCGTCCACGTTACGGCTATCAATGCTGAAAACGACCCCGAAATGCATGCCTCCGACGGAGAGATTCATTCCCCGACAGAAGCCATACCATTGGATTCCCCGACAACTTCCAACACAATCAATCCGAAATCTCAATCCACGACAACGTACTTTTCCTCAGCATTGTCATCTGGTGAGGGAGAGGGTGGTGAAGAGGTACAGCTGGATGATGAAGAGGTCCAGCTGGATGATGAAGAGGTACAGCTGGATGATGAAGAGGTCCAGCTGGATGATGAAGAGGTACAGCTGGATGATGAAGAGGTACAGCTGGATGATGAAGAGGTACAGCTGGATGATGAAGAGGTACAGCTGGATGATGAAGAGGTACAGCTGGATGAGGAAGAGGTACAGCTAGATGATGAAGAGGTACAGCTGGATGATGAAGAGGTACAGCTGGATGATGAAGAGGTACAGCTGGATGAGGAAGAGGTACAGCTAGATGATGAAGAGGTACAGCTGGATGATGAAGAGGTACAGCTGGATGATGAAGAGGTACAGCTGGATGATGAAGAGGTCCAGCTGGATGAGGAAAAGGTACAGCTAGATGATAAAGAGGTACAGCTGGATGATGAAGAGGTACAGCTGGATGATGAAGAGGTCCAGCTGGATGATGAAGAGGTCCAGCTGGATGATGAAGAGGTCCAGCTGGATGATGAAGAGGTACAGCTAGATGATGAAGAGGTCCAGCTGGATGATGAAGAGGTACAGCTGGATGAGGAAGAGGTACAGCTGGATGATGAAGAGGTACAGCTAGATGATGAAGAGGTACAGCTGGATGATGAAGAGGTCCAGCTGGATGATGAAGAGGTACAGCTGGATGATGAAGAGGTCCAGCTGGATGATGAAGAGGTCCAGCTGGATGATGAAGAGGTCCAGCTGGATGATGAAGAGGTCCAGCTGGATGAGGAAGAGGTACAAAGGGAAGCAGATCAGTCAGGTGTGTCAGTAGTGGACCAGGGATACGACACTCCCCGCCTGCCAGCCGGCATCGTAAGCAGCAGCGAGGACACCTTGCCCTCACGTGTGGTTGACCCTCCTCTACAGCCCAGTCAGGACCTTCTTGTGACGGTACACACACAAGATCCGAGCATGACTGTACACACACAAGATCCCAGCTTGACTGTACACACACAAGATCCCAGCTTGACTGTACAAACACAAGATCCCAGCTTGACTGTACACACACAAGATCCCAGCATGACTGTACACACACAAGATCCCAGCTTGACTGCGCACACACAAGATCCCAGCTTGACTGTATACACACACAGGATCCCAGCTTGACTGTACACACACAAGATCCCAGCATGACTGTACACACACAAGATCCCAGCTTGACTGTACACACACAAGATCCCAGCTTGACTGTACACACACAGGATTCCAGCTCTATTGAACACACACCAGATCCCAGCATGACTGTACACACACAAGATCCCAGCTTGACTGCGCACACACAAGATCCCAGCTTGACTGTATACACACACAGGATCCCAGCTTGACTGTACACACACAAGATCCTAGCATGACTGTACACACACAGGATCCCAGCTTGACTGTACACACAATAATAAGATCCAGCTTGACTGCGCACACACAAGATCCTGGCTTGACTGTATACACACACAGGATCCCAGCTTGACTGTACACACACAAGATCCCAGCTTGACTGTGTACACACACAGGATTCCAGCTCTATTGAACACACACCAGAGATCCCAGCATGACTGTACACACACAAGATCCCAGCTTGACTGGGTGCACACACAAGATCCCAGCTTGACTGTATACACACACAGGATCCCAGCTTGATCGTACACACACAAGATCCCAGCTTGGACTGTACACACACAAGATCCCAGCATGACTGTACACACACACAAGATCCCAGCTTGACTGCGCACACACAAGATCCCAGCTTTGACTGTATACACACACAGGATCCCAGCTTGATCACTGGGTACACAATAATAAGATCCTGAAAGCATGGACTGTACACACACAAGATCCCAGCTTGACTGTACACACACAGGATTCCAGCTCTATTGAACACACACCAGATCCCAGCATGACTGTACACACACAAGATCCCAGCTTGACTGCGCACACACAAGATCCCAGCTTGACTGTATACACACACAGGATCCCAGCTTGACTGTACACACACAAGATCCTAGCATGACTGTACACACACAGGATCCCAGCTTGACTGTACACACACAAGTTCCCAGCTTGACTGTACACACACAAGATCCCAGCTTGACTGTACACATACAAGATCCCAGCTTGACTGTACACACACAAGATCCCAGCTCTGTTGAACACATACAGGATCCCAGCTTGACTGTACACACACAAGATCCCAGCTTGACTGCACATACACAGGATCCCAGCTTGACTGTAGACGTACAAGACCCCAGGTTGGTTATACAGACACAGGATCTCAGCTTGATTGTACATGCACAAGATCCCAGCTTCGCTGGACACGTACAAGACCCCTCCTTGACTGTACACACACATGACTCAGGAGCCGTGGCTGAGGACAAAGAAGTGCCGTCAGTGTTCCAACCAGGGGGACCCACCGACCCTGACGCCCCAGCACCAGGCACCATCATTGACCTGTTCGACTTGATGGACCCTCTACGTCCCTCACAGGCCGCTCTGGTCCTCGGCAGCAATGGGCCACTCCTGCGTTCCTCGGTGGATCCGGTGGGGTGTGTTGACGGTAACAGGGAGTGTGTGTACTGGGTGCAGGGCGGTGGCTGTGTGTGCCCTCACCCTGACGCTGTCAGTGGCAACAGTACGTCCGGGGACGCTGTCCACACTCTTGTAAACTATGTCTCTCAGCACCCGAGTTGTTTACTTACTTGTCATGTGGTGAGAGCAACTCCCTGCATAGCAAAACTAAGCACAATTAACCAAAATGTTGAAAGCTAAAGTGTCAGTATATCTTGTTACCATAGATGGAGAACAGCCGAATGAATGTAAAGTAGTCACCTCCCATCACCTTGTAACAGTTGCAGTTCTCTTATCGTTACGTTCCCTGGCTGGTACTTCACACCACGTGTAAGTCCAACATTACTAATAACAATCCTAAGTGTCAACTATGATTTGCTTAAATTTCCTTTACAATCACTCCCACGCTGCGTTCATACAATTGTTATCTCTTGTTATTAATCGCCTTATTTTATACTGTATCAATTTATTGTTCTTTCAATATGTTAACCACTCATATGACTGTAGACTTATTTCAATCTAACAATGTATTTTGTTCACAAATAATGAGTAATTGTATATGTTCATGTTATCTTAATAAAAATATCTCTCACTTGGTAAAGGTTTATAACATGTGGAAAATGAGTTTAATTTAATCCCTGCATCTAATTCCCCAACACCAAGCAGATGTCATAATGCTCTCTATTTTACACAGACGGATGCACAGAAAAACAGACACACAGACACTTACCGGCATTATATAGTTGAATGCATTATCAAACATCAACAAGAAATAGAATTAGTATATTTGTACTCGAGTTTACAAAATTAGTGACCGTGTGTTTAACTCTCCCCTTACTGATAGATACATAAAGTACAGCAAGCCAGAGAAAACAATTTGTACTAATTTATATACAAGGTCTGTAATGACACAATCTTGTGTTAGCTGTATTTATATCTCATTTAATCACATTCATGATTTTTGTGTTTTAAATTCAATCATTTACCAGAACATACGGGAACTGAGGTATTTGTTTGAATGGTGTGTGTGTGTGTGCATTCGTATATATACAGTAACTATATACATTACATGGATCAATTACATTCATATATTCTTTCCTATAAACGTACATGCAATCTATCACATTAATCACATTGGAATTATACACTTTTAACAACATTATCAACGAGGTTCTTGAACTAAAGTTTAGAATCAGAAGTAAGAGGCTGTCTCGGTTCTGGCGCGGGGCAGAGTGTCGGAGTCGCGGTTTGGGTAGGCGAAGAGGACCTCCCTGCGGTTACCCGGACGGTGGGGCTGTGTACGTGAGGCATCGTATGCTGGGGCGTGAGGTGTTGGGGCAGGTGCTGAGTATCTGTTAGGTTAGGTTGGGTTGGATTGGGTTAGATTAGGTTAAGTATGATTGGGTTCAGATAGGTTAGGTTAAGTCAGATTAGGTTAGGTAAGTTAATTTCTACCATACTATATTAGTTTCTTTGACCAACGTATTATTTATAAAGTACACTACAACTACACCAGTGTCTTAACCACCAGGGTTTAATAATACTCACCTCTGCCTAGGGACGTTGTACTGGCGGCTGGTGGAAGTAGCCCATGGGGTGGGGTCTGGTCGTGAGTACCTGGGGGGTGGGCCAGTTGGTGGAGGTGGGGGTGGTGGGGGAGGTGGAGGTGGTGGGGGAGGAGCAGGGGGAGCCAAAACGACAGAGTTGATAGCTTGTGCTGGTGGGTTGTTTGTGTTGCCGCGAGGACCTCCAGTCTGAGGGAGTAAGTGTAGTATTAATATATAACTTTACAAACATAAGACGTTAGTGACGGATTAACATATACCAGTTTGATAATAAGAATAATAATAATACAGTAATAATAATAATAATAATTTGTTTTATTATTATTATTTGTTACTGCTGTTCCCACACTCCTTCACAGCCCCCCACAGCCTCCCACGCACCCTCTCAACCTCCCACAGTCCCCCACTCTTCTTCCCAGCCCCCACACTCCCTCACCACCTTCCACAGCCCACCCACTCTCCTTCTCAGTCTCCCACACTCCCTCATAACCTCCCACACTCCCCACTCACCCTAGAGACGGTGGTAGGGCGGGGTAAAAAGCGGAAGGTGTCGCTGAAGAAGGCCAGGTTGTCGTAGCCTGAGTCGCCGTCAGAGTCGCTGCCTGACGAAGAGGAGGAATCGTCCACCTGTAGCACCACCGACTTGGTTTTCTGGAAATAGTAGTGGATTTGAAGACTCAATTAAGAATTGGCTATCTAGTATACATGCATTACCTAAGCTCTCTCGTTCTATAGATTATTTATTTTCTTTCATTCTTCTTTTTTCAATTTGATTCATTTTCTCCTTTTCTTTCATTCTTCTTCATTTTCTCTATCATTTTCTGTCTATACCTACAACCAAATCACCTTATCCACCTCTTTGTCTTTTGTTTACTTATTCATGTTCTTTTTCTTTCTCTCTAGTCTTTATCTTTTATCTATTTTATCTCATCTTTCTCTGTCTAATTTTCTCTCTCACAATCTTCCTTTTTTATCTTAACCTCTCTGTTTCTTTCCTTCATATCTTCCTCCCGTCAGTCTCTTAGTCTCCTTATCTTCCATTACTTATCATCTATCTCCTTTTATCTTTATCTCTCTCCATTCCACCTTCAGTTTTCTTCCTCCTCCTCTTTCTAATTCTCCCTATCACTCACCTGTAATTAGCAGTACACTCACCTGGTGGTTAGACACGGGGGAACCTCCTAGGGGCCTGAAGGGCATGAGCTTAGGATCGTCGTAGGCTCCTGCAGATACCATTTGCACCCGCCACTTGCGCTCCTTGAACCCGTGGACGATACCGTAAGCCTGAAGGGGAAACACGCAGAAGGTGAAGGTGGGTGAGGACCTACAGAGTATCAAGGGAGTGAAGGTTTAAGGACACAGATGTTATTTTGGCGATTGAGTATTAGGAGAAAAGTATAGTGTGTGAACCATGATGTAGCGAGTTACTCACCATATACAATGCCGCGATAGCACCGATAAGTCCGCCTACAATGACGTCAGTGGCAGATGATTGGTAGGTGAGCATGCCGTGGGTGGCGCCTATTGACATCATGACCATCACCCCGCCCACCAGCATGAGGGTGGTACCGTACACGCCCCTCACCCTCCCCACCCGCGTGAGGTACACCCACGTCCACACACCACTGAAATAACACCGTCACATTATGATAACCTGTTGACACTGCAGGAAATTACCAAACACTCCTTTATATACCTGTAATTAATAGGAAGAATAGACTTTTAAGGTAATTAGTCTTCCCTCACAGGTAAACGCTGCAGTGTGATAAGACTGAGTGATCTTCCTCTTGTGTTTTAAACGTGAGATTTTTTTTGGTATACCTGCATTGTCTATATACATGTTGAATCAATATAAACGAGCATGACGATTTTACTGAATATCTATCAATCTATTTACACCATCCACCTATCTGTTTAACCTAACCTATCAGCAGAACCATAACAAACAGACTGACCAGTAGACAGCGAGGGCAGCATGGTAGGAAGGGAAGGACCTGAGAGCTTCGTGTAGTACTGCGTCAGGAGCACCGTCACACACCAACTGAGGGGTCCAGGTGAGGTTGTGGACACACTCCTCGGGGAGGTCATTGATTGTACTACCACACACAGCCAGTAGATGGGGTCTGGGGGACACTACCACCAGCTTCATCACTGTTACTAACACCCCCGTCGCCGAGCCCCCCAGCAGGAAGGTACCTGAGGGATACATACACACAGGTAAATGGTATGTTATGTTGATCTTTTGATGACCTCTCATACACCAGGTTAGGTGAGGTGAGGTTAGGTTAGGTTACATTTAATTAAACGCATACATTAACGGTAACTAACACTAAATCACCTTAAACCACCTCCTTACCAAACCCCTACAGGTACAGAACAGGTATGGTTGAGGTTCTATCCCTGACATGATCTGACCTCATTAACAATACTCTAACAGGTACACAACAGGTCATAGTCACCGGCCATATCACCACCTGGAGTGACTTATCTACTGACGATTTGATTACAAGGTGAGAAGATAATTATTTTTCTTTAACACAACTCATAAATATATCTATCTATCTTTCCATCTGTCACTCTTTACGTCTTTTCCATTTATCTAGAGCATAACAATCAGAATAACAAAATAAAGAATAATAACAACGGGAATAAAGATTAATATGCAAATTAGACAAGTAAATAAGGTCATTAAACATCAAGGAAACAAAAAAATAAATAAGTGATTAAGTATTACTGGTTAGGCTAGGCTATACCAGGTCAGGTTAGGTTAGGTTAGCGTAAAAAATGGTTAATCTTAAGTTGAAATAAACTGGGGTGTCTAATCTTCACATGATCCCCCCCAAATATACACTTAACTCACCTGAGAAATTAAACTATAGATGACATGATAAATATAGACGACGTAAGACTATAAGGTAGATGGAGGGGTGGGTTGCCTGAGTCCTCTTAAGTACTCACCAACGCCCTCTTAAGTACTCACCAACGTCCTCTTAAGTACTCACCAACGTCCTCTTAAGTACTCACCAACGTCCTCTTAAGTACTCACCAACGCCCTCTTAAGTACTCACCTATGAAGCGAACGATCCTCCGTACTGTGAGAGGGAAAATAAAGCCAAGACTCTTCACCAGCTTCACCTTCCTCTTGGGGTACTGGGTCCTCGCTACCTCCGCCACCAGTACCTGACGAAGGTATGGGAAGGTCAGGGTGTGTGTGTGTCTGAGGTGTTGGTAATAGTTCATTGAGTTATAAAACCTATTTGATTTAGTTATAATCTAATAATCTATATAATCATGTATGTATTAATTATTTCTCTGTAGTTATTTTGTATTTATCTGTATATTCTTTATTAATTTATTCTTCCATTTAATTATATACTTATTTATTCACATTTATCATTGATTTAATTATTTGTCTATATATTAATCTACTATATAGCGTTTAATTAATTATTTAAGTTATACATATAAATATTAAAAACTGAGGGGAAATTCTGTATAAATTATGTAAGGGTTTATAAATAGAGTCAATCAATCAAAAGTGAGAGAGAGAGAGAGAGAGAGAGAGAGAGAGAGAGAGAGAGAGAGAGAGAGAGAGAGAGAGAGAGAGAGAGAGAGAGAGTCACATAAGACTGCAATGGCAAAGACAGACAGAACGGACACACACACACACACACACACACTACCAATTCTCGTAGATTTTGTAGCTTTCTGGGGACCACAACCTATAATTTCATTCATCCACCAGTCTCCCCCTTCCTCTGGTCCTCCTATACCCTCAATTTCACCAATTATTTCTTGTATTATTTTTACCATTATCCATTTTTATTTTTATTCTTTTTACGGGGATTAGCTCACCCGGGCACAGGTCACTGACCCACATCAGGGCCTGGGATAAAAAATAAATAATAATAATAATCATAATAATAATAACTATTATTATTATTATTATTATAATTAATAAAAATTAATAACAAAATAAAAATATAATAAAATAAAAATAAAATAATAAAAATAATATAATAACCATAAATAAATACAAAAACAAAAAATAAATCAAGAGTGAGAAACGATATACTGTATGTATGTTGTGTTGTCCAAGTAAGAGAAACAATTGAGATCCTGCAATTATGTGTAAATGAGGCAGAAAGTCAGATCATCAACCTGGGACTTGGTCACGTATGGCAGCAGGGTCTACCATTAGACAACACCTTATGCTTCCAATATCTTCCCAGGCGGCAGTACCTCCCTGTTTGATAGCTGCCTACTACCTTATTTATAAAACCAAAATATCTCCTTGTCTTTGTTATATAAATCTATAATATTTCTTTCGTTGTTCTTGCTTCTTCATTTATTTCCCTATTGTATAACTTATTCTTTTCTAACAATTTCTCCAGCAGCACGACACTTCACTGCTTCTGGTGTCTCCTCAACTGTTGACATTTGTGACCCTGGCAAAGTACTGACCTAACATTTACAGTACTACCAGCGCCTTTATCCCATATTGAAATAAGTTTAAACTCATTTTGATCTTCAGATACAGTAACCTTGTGTTTATTCTCATTTTTTTTAAAATGTTTAATTAACCTTCGTAAACATTAATCATTAAGGTCTGTAGACTAAATTAAATGAACTTAAAGGCACCTGTTCATCATCTACTCACCAGGCAGCAGGGCACCACGATACAGCAGGTGAAGAAGATGGACTCAGGGAGGGCGAACGAGACACTACCGGAAGCTGAGTCGTCGTCAGAGTAGTGAGGGTAGGAGAGGTCAGCCAAGGTCGTGCACGGTAGTTTGACCCCGTCCCAGTTGACCAAACTGCAGTCCTCGCGTACGTCAACGTCATATCTGTGTTGCGAGGAAGAGAGTAAGTGAGAGAGAGAGAGAGAGAGAGAGAGAGAGAGAGAGAGAGAGAGAGAGAGAGAGAGAGAGAGAGAGAGAGAGAGAGAGACCACAGAAGACTACAATGGCATAGACAGACAGACAGACGCAGACACACACACCACTAACCTGAGGAAGTAGTTGAGGGCACACAGGCCGGCAGTGATGATCAGATCGAGGAAAGACACAGGTAAGAGGAGCTGGTTGGTTACTCTAGCCACGTCCTCTCCCCCTTCCTCCTCCCTCACATTCACTGCCCCGTCCCTCCACCCTCCCACACCCCTCCTCTTCCTCGTCTCTCTCCTTTCACTCATGCTGGAATAGAAGTATATGTGGATAATTATTCATAAAAGGCTAACAAAGTACTTGGGTTCAAACAAAAGCGTGTTAGTTACAAGACTAGCGAGGTTATCCTAAAACTATATCTTGTGCTTGTGAGACGTCACTTGGATTATGCGGTTTATTTTTAGTCACCGTACTACAGAATGGATATCGAATCCCTAGAAACTTTTCAGGAGAATGACGAGGCTAATCCCAGGCATTAGGAATCTTGAGTACAGAGACAGGTTAAAGCATCTTAATTTGCACTCCCTCAAGAGACGAAGAGTGAGGGACGATATGATCGAGGTGTATAAATGGAAGTCAGGGTTAAACAAATTTGATATAACAAAGGTACTCAAACTATCCAACCAGGCGCAACTCGTAACAATGGGTTTAAATTAGACAAATTTATATTTAGGCGCGAGATAGGTAAACATTGGTTTGGAAATTGAGTAGTGGACGAGTGGAACAAGTTAACAAACATCATCATTAACTCGAATACGCTGGATAGCTTCAAACATAGGGTGAATGGATATACTGTATGAGCGATAGGGGTTGGGTGTAAACTGGACTGCCCAGTATGAGACAACAGGCCCGCTGCAGTTTCCTTTATTCTCATGTTCTTAAATAATGATGTTTCCTGTAAGTTTAACCACAAAATAAGAAAATACAAACATACCCTGGTACATACATACAGTAAAGACTTAGATACATAAAGTTAATAAGATAAATTAACGAACACATACACAAAATAAATAGATGAATAATAAACGAAAAGAATAAAAAATAAATTAAATTAATAAACACGTAACACAACTCGCAACTAAAGACATAAAACAAATAAACACGAAAGTAACAAAAATAAATAAATAAAAACGAAAGCAAATAAATAATAATGAAAAAAGGTAAATAAACAAAACCAAACCCGTCAAAACCACGTAAATTAACAGGTAAGGGAAAATACCTGTACTAACCTTGGTGTTGGTAATTTTAAACAACGAAATACCTATTAAATCCGGTGTTATTATCTGGGATTTGCGTATCAGTGAGGCGTATTAGGTTGGGGGGGGGGTGAGGCAGGTGCAGTGCTAAAGGTCACGTCTACTGTACTGTGTATCCGGGCTTTAGATGACTAATTATGATGATGATGAAATACAACTATAACTAATGATAATTAAAATGCTAATAATAATAGTAATGTGTGTGTGTGTGTGTGTGTGTGTGTGTGTGTGTGTGTGAATATATACCTTTGAGTGGATGTGTCTATTTTACGGTGCGTTGCTGTGGTGTAATGGTCAGTATCAATCCTCGCAATTAAGAGGACCCGTCTTCGATCTCCAGGCAGGGTGAATCTAAGAGCAAGTTTCTTTACGCCACTTGCCTCTGTCTACCCAGCAGTAATTGGGAACCTGGATGTTAATCGATTTGCGGATCGTGTTCCAGGGTAATGGTTAGCCAGTGCAGTTGGGAAGTTGTCCGGTCTTCTCGGACTGTTCCTTGACACTGGACTCACACAATACGTTAACTTAAGATGTGGTTTTTGTTTTGGCCACAGCTTCTACACATCATGGGACGCCTGTGTGTGTGTGTGTGTCGGGATACACCCCTCTACACCCACACCACCGCGTAGTACACACTCATCAACACATCATCTTCACAACATAATACCAGTTCTATTCCTCTCCTTCGCCTTGAGGACAATTTTTGGAGATCACCTGAAGATTAGCCCCCTAGCTTATTTATCCTTAAGATTAACAACCCTAACACTTATCAAACTTAACCTAACCCTAACCGTAACGCTAACCCTAACCGTAACGCTAACCCTAACCGTAACGCTAACCCTAACCGTAACGCTAACCCTAACCGCAATCCTAACCTAACCCCCACAGATAGAGTTAGGCTGTGTAGTCATCCAGTGAAATAACCTGGAAGGGCTATTCTTCAGGTGATCCTAATTTTGTTTTTAATCCAATGTCGACTTATCAAAGAACAGCAATACTAATGTTATCACCTGAGCCTCTGTTATGGTGAACAGGTTGGAGCAACTACATTGGAGACGTGATTCGGTGTAAGTTGATGGGAGATGAAGCTAGATTGAATTAGAAGTGATTATAATGAAATATATTTAACCTTCCGCTCTTAACCGAGTCTTCATGTAGAAATATATCCGGAACTACCTGTTAAACTCACTATTTCGGGTAGATATCAACAACGGGTAGAATGGACGAACGAGGAGTAGAGGGTGGACGAAGCCGGATTGAACTAAAGTCCTCATCAATTGTAATCACTATGAAATATATTCCATTCTCAACTCTTAGCCAGGTGATAAAATATAAATTAACACAAAACGTTCAATTCAACTCACTATTTCAGGTAGATATCAACGGGAAGACCGAGACGTACAGTATAGGCAGACGGCGAATGATTGGAGCCAGGTACAACCGAACACTGACACAGCCAATCAGCTAGGGTGGAAATCGCTAAAGCCGGGGTACTGATAAGTGTGAGATAAGGCAGAAGTGTGTTATCAGTATAGCGTCAGTGTTGTGGTAATTGAATACACTTGAGTTATACCAATATGTTCGAATAATGTTTGCGTATACTCAACGTCCCTATACTCAGAACACGCAACGTATAAATGCATCATTAATGTTGTTTACTTTGTGCAAGATTTTAAGTAATTTTGGATTTTTTCATGATTTTTGCTTTGTTTTGTATTTATTATTATTATTATTATTATTATTATTATTATTATTATTATTATTATTATTAAATCCTTCTACTGCTGTATTTGAACTTATGTGCGTATATGTGGAAGTACACATACATATACAGATATAGGTATAAAGTATGCATGTATGCATAATATGAACGTATTTGCATGTATGTATGTATGTATGTATGTACGTATGTATGTATGTATACACAGGTGGTGAGGGGCTTAATGTAACGTCCCCAAGAGACTTAATTAAGAAGTATACCGCATTATCAGGTGAGCCCCGATCATACAGTTCATTGTGACACAGATAAGTAACTTTAGAGTCGACTGAAGTATTTAAGTAGTTACACTACATTAATTGTTATCATGAGCCTATCGGTAATGTAAATGACGTCATCATATAAGAGCTGTATTTTGATTGGTCGTTCAAAGTGAAAAGTAAGGGCCATTCTGGTTTCTCATTGGCTGTGATGTAAATATGAATCACCTGAAAATTAACCCCCCTCATAACTACTGCATTCTAACGATAATCTAACCTTAATTCCCCAGGTAGCGTTCGGGTATTTAATCATCAGGTGAGATAAGCTGGGGTGTCTATATTAATAATAACGTGACCCATATTCCTGACACCGTGACACTATATTCCTAACAACGTGACCTATATTCCTAACGTGACCTATATTCCTAACGTGACCTATATTCCTAACATCGTGACACTATATTCCTAACAACGTGACACTATATTCCTAACACCGTGACCTATATTCCTAACGTGACCTATATTCCTAACACCGTGACCTATATTCCTAACGTGACACTATATTCTTAACACCGTGACACTATATTCCTAACACCGTGACCTATATTCCTAACGTGACCTATATTCCTAACACCGTGGCACTATATTCCTAACACTGACATATATTCCTAGCATCATGACCTCTTTTTCTCGTGGATTTGGCAGGATTTCCATATCTCAGGTAATAATGGATCTAACACAATTTTACATCACTGTTGCTATGACTTATTGCCTGAAAGTGTTTACGTCAGTTTCAGGGTTATTACACCAACAGCTGTAACGCAGATAGCTCTCTCTCAGCACGCCGTGACGTCACTTGTACATGTTAGTTGATATGAAATTAATTTTACGTAAAGTTGTGGACATTTATCCTTTGCCTTTTAAATATTTGTTGCATTATTATTTATTTATTCGTGTCTGTTTATGTTCTTGTTGTGTATACTTAGCCAGTTTTTTTGTTTATGTTTTTTTTTAAGTGTATCTTATGTTGAGTTTCCTAACCTTTGTGTTCTCTTCATATTTGTTTGGCTTAAAATCATCAACTGTTGCTTAAACTACCAGTGTGTGCTCGGGTGTGTGTGGCTCCGACGATGCCACATTAATCGGGTGAGCCAGAAATTTCCGGCAAAGGATTTATGGCTGAAACTACATGTATATATATACAGTAGATGTTGTTATTTTATATTCCAATACAAGATTATTAATTATTTGCCGTTTGTAGAGGGAGGGAGAGAGAGAGAGAGAGAGAGAGAGAGAGAGAGAGAGAGAGAGAGAGAGAGAGAGAGAGAGTGTGTTTATTTTTTGTGTGTGTAGCGTAGCATGCATGTGTAAAGTGATGTAACGAGTATGTGTGGCGGTATTGAAACAGGAAGTGACACAGGAACAAGATACAGTTTCTGGTTGTGTAACTGATTCGGTATCTCTACTCGCGACATACCTGGCATAGCTACGACCTGACACCTTGACAAGTTAACATTTTATCGCTCTATTACAACAGCCACTTCCACACATAAACATCCTCACCCAATACTACTCTTACTTTGCTGTCACTCGGTATTGAGTATAACGACCATCCAGCTATGATACAATGATGTGAGTTATGAAGGCAGATAAGCGTTGGCGCTTATCTGCCTCGTTATGCAGTCGAGCTAACTCGTAAGTATTGACACCTCTCGTGTGGTGATCCTCCAAGCTTTACGGTGTGGAGTAATCCCCTCCCAGGTGGGGGGGCCGATTTGGCACTTTTTCATGTTTGTCTTAAGACAATCCATATACCTTTTCAGTTGCCCGCTGGCGTTACGTTTCCCATTTGCTAAGTGACAGTAAAGTAGCTGTCTACTGTCGTCCATGCGGGTAACATGGCCAGTCCAACGTAGTTGTTCATGGATAATGGTAGCCTCGATGCTCCTACAGTTGGTGTCAGCAATAATACTGATATTTGTTATCTTGTCTTCCCAGCGAACTCGGAGGTTGGAACGTAGACTATGTTGGTGAAAGTTTTCAAGTGCCTTGAGGTGCCTCCTGTATGTGACCCATGTGTCACTGCCATATAGCAGGGTGGGGAGGACCAGTGCTCGGTATACGTGTAACTTTGTTGAAAATTTCAGCTTCCTACAGCTAAAGACACAGGTATGGAGTCTGCCAAAGGCTTGAGATGCACATATGATGCGATGTTTAATCTCTTCATCGATGTACGCGGTGGTGGACAGGCGGGAGCCGAGATACTGAAAGTGGGTAACATTAGAGAGGGTAGTACCATTGAGATGGATGGATGGATGGTGGAGGTGTGTCTGAACCTGGGGTAGGATGAAAGAGAATCTGGGTCTTACGTACATTCACCTCAAGAACGAAGTGTGGATATGCATCTGCCTTGGTGCTCAGGATCTCCTGTGGGTCGCGTTCAGTGTGAGCGACAAGGGTGAGATCGTCTGCATACTGCAGCTCAATAATGGAAGCTTCGGACACCTTTGTTCCTGCCTGGAGTCGTCTCATGTTGAAAAGACCCTTCATCCGGTACTGGATGTCCACCCCGCTGGATAAATTGGCACTGGCACGAGTAAGGAAGGCAACCAAGAAAATGGAAAAGAGAGTTGGTTCTATGGTGGTGTGTGAGGTTTTAACCTAACCAGTCAAAAGATCGTTCTCAACGTCCATAAAACATTAAATATTTTTTAACAAACATATTAACAATGTAAAGAGCGAGGTGGCCAAAATAAACAAATAGCCATTATTATCTCCTTACGGTCTTCCTTTGTGCAAGAGATAACGTGTGAGACAGAGATAGTGAGAGAGATAACTGTCTCTTTATCCCACTGCTGTGGGAGTCAACAATAAGTCAGTTCTCAGGATATCAACCAGTGTTATTTGTATTGCCTAATCAGTCTATTCAACGGCTAAAGTAAACAGTTTCATTGTTTGTGTGTAACGCCAGGCGAACGACAGTGATTTATAGACCACATGATGAAATATATTGACTCGCTGTAGAAGGAATAGAGGAAGGTGGAGAAGATGGTGAAGACGATGAAGAGGAAGAAGGTGGAGAAGATGGTGAAGACGACGAAGAAGAGAAAGATGGAGAAGAAGATGGTGAAGACGATGAAGAAGAGGAAGATGGAGAAGAAGATGGTGAAGACGATGAAGAAGAGAAAGATGGAGAAGAAGATGGTGAAGACGATGAAGAAGAGGAAGGTGGAGAAGAAGATGGTGAAGACGATGAAGAAGAGAAAGATGGAGAAGAAGATGGTGAAGACGATGAAGAAGAGGAAGGAGAAGAAGATGGTGAAGACGATGAAGAAGAGAAAGATGGAGAAGAAGATGGTGAAGACGATGAAGAAGAGGAAGGTGGAGAAGAAGATGGTGAAGACGATGAAGAAGAGGAAGATGGAGAAGAAGATGGTGAAGACGATGAAGAAGAGGAAGGTGGAGAAGAAGATGGTGAAGACGATGAAGAAGAGAAGATGGAGAAGAAGATGGTGAAGACGATGAAGAAGAGGAAGGTGGAGAAGAAGATGGTGAAGACGATGAAGAAGAGGAAGGTGGAGAAGAAGATGGTGAAGACGATGAAGAAGAGAAAGATGAAGAAGAGGAAGGTGGAGAAGATGGTGAAGACGATGAAGAAGAGGAAGGTGGAGAAGAAGATGGTGAAGACGATGAAGAAGAGAAAGATGGAGAAGAAGATGGTGAAGACGATGAAGAAGAGGAAGGTGGAGAAGAAGATGGTGAAGACGATGAAGAAGAGAAAGATGGAGAAGAAGATGGTGAAGACGATGAAGAAGAGGAAGGTGGAGAAGAAGATGGTGAAGACGATGAAGAAGAGAAAGATGGAGAAGAAGATGGTGAAGACGATGAAGAGGAAGAAGGTGGAGAAGAAGATGGTGAAGACGATGAAGAGGAGGAAGGTGGAGAGGATGAAGACGATGAAGAAGAGGAAGATGAAGAAGATGGTGAAGAAGATGAAGAAGAAGAGGAAGATGGAGAAGAGGATGGGGAAAAAGAAAAAGAAGAAGACTTTTTGTACTTTCTTGCAGCGGGTCACTTTAACTTTTCAGATTGTTAGATTAGATTAGGTTAGATTAGATTAGGTTAGGTTAGATTAGGTTAGGTTAGGTTAGGTCAGATTAGGTTAGGTTATGTTAGGTTAGCATTAGGGTGTTTAAATCCTCAATTCACTGTATGCCTTTACCACTCATATTTAACCACCCTCTCCCTCACTCCTGCTTTATGTAATTCCATCGAGAGAGAGAGAGAGAGAGAGAGAGAGAGAGAGAGAGAGAGAGAGAGAGGTCAGTTGAGAGTGATCAGATAATTGTAGACAGGAGTAGTAGTAGTAATATTGGTCTCTCTCTCTCTCTCTCTCTCTCTCAGTGTGTACCAGACGACTATACTGCCTATCGCTCCATCATGATTAAGGCACTCCTGTATTGGGATAACCCTGACCTAGCGAGGCCCAGTTGAACACACACACACACCTGTACCCCCTCAATACTGTCACCTGTGCTACTGTAGTGTTATGTAAGCAAGTCTTATGAGACGCCACAGCCCAGCGTTACGTCACCATAAACAACACTAACGCTTTGATAACTTTCTCTCTCCTCTTCCTGTCTTTCTCTCACTTTCTCTCCTTGTGTTTCTCTCACTCTCACTTTCTCTCGTGTTTCTCTCCCTTCTCTCCATTCTTCTCATTTATTCACTTCTCCTTCCATCATTCTCCCCCCATTTCATTCCTCACTTTAGTTTTCTCTCCTTCCATCACTCCCTCCCTCTCTCCTTCCATCACTCCCTCCCTCTCTCTCCTTCCATCACTCCCTCCCTCTCTCCTTCCATCACTCCCTCCCTCTCTCTCTCCTTCCACCACTCCAACCCTCTCACGTAACACCACTCACACCATAAATCACCTCTCCTATTGTTACATAAGTGATGCCAAAAGGTGTTTATGTTATCAGTATTTATGAGGGTGTTATGAGGGTGTTATGAGGGTGTTATGAGGGTGTTATGAGTGTGTTGTCAAAGGCAGTGTCAAGTGCCCTACCACATACCCAGACCCCATTACTCTCGCTGTCAGAATCTCTTAAAAAGATAGCGAGATTCTGTGTCAGATCCCCCACGATAACGAAAACTGTGTCAAATCATTGGTGGATATAAAAAGCCGCTATGAGTAAAAGCCAGACACAAAAAGCCGTATTAATAAGGTTTTTAGTTGTAGAAAGCCGTATTAATAAGGTTTTTAGTTATAGAAAGCCGTATTAATAAGGTTTTTAGTTATAGAAAGCCATATTAATAAGGTTTTTAGTTATAGAAAGCCGTATTAATAAGGTTTTTAGTTGTAGAAAGTCGTATTAATAAGGTTTTTAGTTATAGAAAGCCGTATTAATAAGGTATTTAGTTGTAGAAAGTCGTATTATTAACTGGACACAAAAACCCGTATTAATTACATTAACAAATTCTACTACATAGGAATTTCAACTGTTTACCGAAACAAGGAATTGTAATTACTACCGTTTTAGGCTACGGGAGTTACTTTAATAAATGTCTAAGTCACATTACTCTTTAAAATGTTCACACGACAGTGTACTAAATCCACCATTACCTGTATAAACTCACAAGAGGATCAGACACTACTTCACCGTCACCGCGAGGCTTCAACAGGGGGATCCAATTCCTTATACAAAGTCGATATAGGTTTGGAATAAAACTACTTAATAATAATGTAAGATTCTCTATTTGTCATAAGTAAAGCACAGAACGCGTACAAAGTTGCATAATGACGACATTCTCTTTTGATAATAATAATAACAATAATAATTACAATAATAATAATAATAATAATAATAATAATAATAATAATAATAATAATAACAATAATAATAATAATAATAATAATAATAATAATAATAATAATAAATACATGGTGTTTACGAGAGGCGTACACAAGACTATTCACGACATCCACAAATATTCTCCCAAAATATTTTAAAACTTCCTCAAAAAACAAAAAAATAAAATAAAAATAAAAAATGAAAAACTTGCATCCCTAAAATTTTCCTTAAATAAACCTAACTCACCGTAAAACTGTATTAAAATAAACCAATAACTGGATTCGAACACAGAGACCCGAGGTACCCGAACACACTGGTAATAAGCTCGCGGGGACTACATACTCTCTCATCTGTTGTCCCATATATTTATTAACAAGTAAGAATGTCGTTATGTTAGGTCCTTAATTAATCAATATATTTTTTTTTATTAATAATGGATAAATTTTTCAATACTAAACCTTTTGCAGAAATATAATGTCTTTAAAACAGAATGAATAAACGAAAGCTTAAACCAATTATTTGCTAGAAGTACTGTTGGTTACTGACTGTCATTATATATGTATTTATTCAGTTATTATTATTATTTATGCTACGTTTAATCATCCAAAAATTTTCGCCTTTCCTGATCTTACTGGTAATGTTTCTTGCGTGTGAGGGATTTTTTCTTTTAATTCTCAATCCGACAGATCACAAGTTTTTAATAAGTAAATTCACGTGATAAAAAAAATCTATGCTGTAATTTCGATTTGCTGAAATACTGGCAGCTTATTGGTTAAGAGTGTACCAATTAGATACTGGATACGAGATACCAACAAAGGCGCTGATTGGCTAGGAGGAGTCAACCAATAAACGAACTGGTTAGAGCTGACCTTCGCATGTGACTCCATCTGACCTTATTAAGATCTATCATGAGACTAAATAACCTCTTGATAGCTATGACCTCGTATGACCTTGTTAATTATTTATCTGACCCATTATGGCTCTCATCAAGTATTTGGGGCTGACCTTCAAAGGTGACCCTAGCTGACCTTTTTATAATCTGTTTATTATAATTCTGAATGACCTCTTTATAACTATGACCTCGTATGACCTTGTTAATTACTTATTGACCCTTTATGGCTCCTTTATCGAGTATTTAATCTTTTCTGTACATGACTCTGGTACTGTCTGTTTAATTACTTATGTGACCTTTCAATGACCTCTTTTACTTTATATAAATGACCTCATAACCTCTTAGTAGTTTATTATGACCTCTTTATATCACAAGACCTGGTGACCTCAGCAGTTTATGACCTCTAGATGTGACCTCTATTATATCACATGACCTGGTGACCTCAGCAGTTTATTATGACCTCTAGAAGTGACCTCTTTGTAATATACTGTTTTACAATTTTACCTGCCGACCTCACCTGTACGTAAGAGACTTACAGTATTTACAATAACTCAAATGACCGCTTTCTGTGACCTCTCGACCTGACCTCTCTTGGTATGTTTGACCTGACCTCTCGACCTGACCTCTAACCTGACTTGACCTGACCACTCAAAATTGCATTAGTATTTTAGTTAACTTTTTTCTGAATCACAACTTGTATCAGAAATGTAATATTTTATTTTATTTTTAATTAGCTTATAAACAACTAATAATACAATATATCCAGTCACTCTCAACTAGCCAATATCAGCCATTACCAGTAAACAGTTACCAGCACTATAACTAGCAAATGAAATGCTATTAACTCAATGGTTATATTAATAAATGACTCCAGTTTTACGCCACGAATAAAAATCTTTAAATGGATACCTAAGCGACTGGTGAATTAATACTTTATCCTCGCGTAAAGTGAGAGAGAGAGAGAGAACGCATTTTTTTATCTAGAAACAAATATCCTAACGTAATTTCTGTATTAATACCTTGTCCTCACGTAATAAAAAAAAATATTAACGTAAATGAAACTAAAAAAGTGGATCCGCTTCGCCTGTTTGCTACAACACTGGCAGCACAAACATTAATTCAGACCGTATACAAATTATAGTGTCCGCTAGCAATCTATTTTGTTAATCTCTGTTTAGTCATGTTGTAATTTGTTATTTTTTGAGAATCTGGGAAAGTTGGTAGTCTATTCAAATACTAAGACATCAACATTCACATTTTTTTTTAAGTATTTGGTAGTCTTATGTTGTTTGATGATGAAATTAAGGAGTGAATTTCAATTAACTATCGAATGTTATACAGTTAGAACATGACTAGAGAAAACAAAACAGAAGGCCGTAAACTGTAACATGCGGCGGCTATGTTTGTTGTTGTTAACTTGTTGAGGTCTGACGGTACAGAATGGCACTGAACAAATCCTTCTGTATGGCTGCTCTCGACTCTCGATCACAAGGTTCGAAAATCTTTATAAAAGGCTTTGTTTGTACCAAGACAATCTAAATCTAATGAAACTACACTCTAAGAACATGTTCGAAAACTGCAATAAATTCTGATTAGATTCTGACACTCGCTTGACTACTGACGTGGAATAATGCCTATTGACTGGTCCTTCTCTTTGACGTCAGAAATCAATAACAAAAAAGTATAATCATAAAAAAATTACCTTCCGGACAGAATACTGTATATTTCCAGGAAAACACGTGTCAACGAAAACAATGTGTGATATATGGTGAAACTCTATATATTAAACAATCTCACTCACAAACAATAACATATCTACAAGCACCCTGAAATATGCCAATGGCTGTGTTTAGCATATTTCTCATAAATACACAGGAGCGTCAGGCGGGAAAATATGTGACAAATTCCCCGCACCCTCAGATACGAACGTGATATCTTACACTACGCTGAATAATATGCATTCTTCACAAAATCTTTACAATTCCACTTACAAATGAAACAAGTAATCCTCGTTAAACCTTAAGACTACATGTAAGAAACAAAAACTTCTCAACAGCGTCGAAAAAAAAATGTCTTTAAAACCCCGAGCAGCTGTCATAAACACTGGTCGCGGTCTATAGTATACCACACTGTACAAAAAACTGCGATTATACCCTACCTCTTAACAATGTATGTATGTACTAATTAGTTGTCTCTACAAATCTTTAGTTCAATATTTACTACCTAGAAACACGTTGAACTTAAATCATGTAACACTCAAGTAGTCATGACAAAAGCCACAAACAGGCATAAAAAAGTCCAGGTTAGGTAGACTCGGTTCTTGAAGGAATATAAAATGTAATAAATAAAACATAAAAAGCAAACTGAGTCATACATATACGAAGGTGAGGTGAGGTGAGGTGGCTGGCGTAGTGAGCCGCGCGCGACGCCTCACGCCCAGGAAGTCTAACATGAACCAGGCACTTGCAGAGCCCAACACCACGCTTGTCTTACGTCATGAAACATATAGTTGTCTGTGGCTGACGACTCCCTACTAACTGAGGTTCAACGGAATTCATGTGTTAACTTTATATATAAATTTACTGTTAATAAAGCTCTGCCTTACAGTACAGTACTACAGTAGACAAAAATATGACTGTCGTACCAAATCCAAATAAAGTGTTGGTTTATATGAACAGATTTTGCTCACCCAGATCCTGTCAGGACAATCACAGTCCTGGTGTCAATAGGATTAGACTAGATTTGAAGGCTGACCTGCCCTGCTCTTCTTATAAACCTGCTTGGTGGTTACCACACAGGGGTGTTCAGAACATCTTCAGCTTTTGGTGAACAGAGTTGACACGGACTCTCAACTGATATCCTCTTGTGCACTGATTTGTTTATATAAATGCTCCTATTATCGAACTATAATTTCACGTTAATTACAGTACACAATTACAGGGACCTTGTGCAACCAGCCAGCAGTGCAGCTTACAGCAACTACTGTCGTGTCCTCTGCTCCACAGTATCTTACGGAGCACTTGCTGAAACTTGTATTATTTTCCAATGTTGAAAACCAACGTTTATACACACTTACATCTTCTAACAGAACAATTAATTCTACAAATATATTCACAACACTAAAACGCTTTATATGACTATACAAGAGTATAAATGTTGACAAACTCGCTACCAGAGCTGAGTTGTACACAGGCGGGCGAGAACCTGCCAAACCGTGAAGCACTGTTCTCACTCATATAAATATAATGACTATACTTATCCCAAAAACTTATCTAGTAGTCCAGTATAGATCACAAACACTTAATTATTACCATACATGTGTCATTAACAAGGTTATAAATTTTAGCAATATTTCTATTTGTAAGGATGACTTGTGACACGAACACGAAAAAAAAAATATTAATTGGTCAGTGGAAGAACTCTGGTAAGCCTAAATCTTCAATAAAACAAGAGATTTAAAAAAAATCACAGAACTGCTCAAAATTTCCATAACTACGCGTGAACAAGCCCTGTTTTATGTACATAAGGACACAGAGTTGAATATGTTAATAGGTTATTACAACAGCATCATTAATATACACGTTTTACCGGTAATAACTCCGCAGTTAAAGTTTGAGAATCATTGAAAATTGCGTGTTTATAGAGCACATGTTGCACCGTTGTGTACACGGTGCAACTTCTACGTCTGACAGAGACAATCATGCAGTACGGTATATTGTCACGAAAAAAAAAACGTTTTAGTTGAATAACAAACAACGAAAGTCTCAGTATTCGTTATAGGAATGTTTGTGTCATGAATCATCTGGGTATTAACGGCACCAAAAATAACTTATGCGACATATATAAACAAATGCTCTTGTTGATGGAGTAATGTTATCACTACGCTTAAAACTTTCTAAGGTCTTTAAGCGCCTAACTACTTCAGTAACTACACTAGTCCATCGACATTAAGAATTATTAGATATACTATTCTATCAAAACCTCTAAAATTGGTATTTGCTGTAATCTAAATAGTTCATACAAATTCACAGTTACATAGACCTGGGATTATATAATGTACTGTACTATACTATACAGGTCTTCGCTTTCCATACAGCAGTGACCGCGGATACATGGTATTATTGCACAATTTTAATATTTCCCTTCCTAACTTGTTGTCAATATGTCTACCACTGAGTAACAAAACTAGTGACATGTGATGATAAACCGTTGTTGTATCCATTATCTTACGTGCATTTTAACTTCTTTAAATTTCTCCTACATAATTATTGTAGACTCATACGAAAATAGCTTCACAAATATTTACCAAATGAGATCTCCATGTGAGTCAAGATGATGGACCTCTGTAAACAAAAAGATCGCAGTATTTGCCCTGTAAACAAAGACCTGATGCATGACATGTGACTGCTCTGCTAAGACAAGTCATTCAAATGAGTGTTTCACGTCACGTCACAAAGTTCGGTGTGATTTCTCAGGTGGTTACATTCTTTTGTTTACTAAGATAATGCCATTCGGAAAGGCAGTTTTATAATCTGTAAAATACAATACAATATAACTGGACAGACTTGACTATTGACCACTGTATACGGACACTGACAGACTAATACTAATACCTGTTGCCTTACCACTACACAAACGTCGACTGACCCTGGTGCTGACCAACAGGGAGCTAAAAACAATTACGAACAACTAAACAAAAACCGTTCTTCTACCCCCAGTACAGTACCTTCACATAACACTTGAGGCATTTTCCTTCTCTCTAATCTTAACTCCTACAAGATACTGTCACACTGCCCATGAACTATATAGTCACGTTCAAGTAAAGTGAAGACTTTGATTATTTATCTAATGAGGCATTATTTTGACTAGTTATAAACCATGAAAACTAATCCATGTTGACAGATACAGGTACACCTACCTTCAGGGACATCCAGCGTCCACACATCCTCTTATTTACACTGCCTACCGCTACACAAGTCGGTGTACACAAACAACTATAGCCACGAACATTATAAACTTAACAGTACTGTGATGACCCAGCCACAGACAGAATGATGAAGCGCTACAAAAACTGCTCAGCTGTTGTGATGAGGCAAGCTCCAGTTATATTAGTAAACGCAAGTACAGTACAGTAGTGTGTTGCGTGGATCAGGCTTATTTGCTTGCACGATCTGTTGTTTGGACACCATATACTGCAGTTATCATCCCCTGTGGGCTGGTCAGCTCAAGAACCACTATTTTTCCTCAGAATCCGGGGTCGAGGAAGTGATGTGAATTATCAACATAATCAATGCCAATTACTTGATGTTGGACGCCACGAATAAGCTCCGCCATTTAATATAAAAACTCCGACGAAACACACACGTAAAGGTATTAAATTAAATCATAACACCAGAAACTGAGCGGTGACGCCACAAACTAGACTAAGACATATCAGAGAGATTATGATGGCGACCAAGTCATGTAGTGAGACGCACAGAATAACACACCTACAGTAATATAGTACACAATAAATCTACATACAGCACTATTACCAGTCATACAAGGTTAGGCTTTACCATTCTATGTTAGACTCATACAATCGGTTAGATCTTGTTACTACATCAATTGATACATTTGTGTTAGATTTTGACACTGTTAGATTCATACATTGTTAGATTGTACTACAATATTCAGAAACAGTTAGTATTGGTCATGTTGTTTATATTTTACTCATATACAGTACCAATGTCTATAATTTATCAAATCTTCTAATGAAGCATAAAATTGTACCACCAGACATTACAGCAAAAACCAAACAAGTAAACTATGCAAAAGTTACCCTAATCAAGAGCTAAGTTACTCCCCACTGAACAACTAGTGATGGTGTTAATATTCCTAAATATTCTCATATTTCACCAACATTTAAAACTAACAGTTACGTAGTATAACCTGGCTGCTGTTGACGTGTAGTTTCAGGGTTAAGGTCTGGTAACCTCTGGTGGCACAACAACATGCTCCTGCTGAGAACGGTAAACATCCGACCTTGGTCATTAGGTTCCCGTCAACATCAAATGGTAGAAGACTTGCCCAGGTCCCCTTGTGTTGTCCCTTGAAAAAATGTACCATCGGCTTGGAATTTTATGGCATGAGAGGAAGTTTGTCCCTTTATAAATATGGTCAGTTGATATGTATAGATGACGGGTGAGCGGTCCAGGGAAGCGTGCAGCTGCTGTTTCTCCAGTGTTGGAGTTCATTGTCGCCTCATGACTGCTGGCTGACTTACAGAACCTATAACTATTTTATCAGGTGATTTTCTAGTTGTAACTGCATTGCGTCTACCTTATCAGATACTTCCGTTAAAACTCTTCAGTCTCGTGGTTCACTTGTTCTAGTGTCGGGAGCTTGGAGGGCAGTTTTGTTGTTAATATTTCATTTTGTTGTTGTAGTGTTGTAGGGAGGCGTGGTGGCTACACTTGGTCTGGCGCGGGAGTGTCAGAGTTAAGGATGATCTGGTTGGTCTCGGCTCTCACCCCGTTACCTACAGACACCTGCTGATCCCTCCACGGCGTTGTCAGGATCTTCAGCCGCTGCAACAATACCATACATAAGTAAACTGCTAAGTAAAAACACAAATAAATTACCAGATGCATAAGCAAACAATTATAAGCAAAATACCAACATAAACTACAAGTGCAGACTGTTTTATACTCCAACACCTCATCTTAAACTTGCTTTATATGTATCTAAGAATATACTGTACTGCTACTTTGCCAAAACTCTGGGTGTACACTGTACAGTATACGTCCTTATGAACAAGTTATTAAACTTCGCATGGCTGCACAATAAGATTTACAATAATAATGAACTATTCTCCTCTGGTCTGTTTTTGTCATGAAATTCTAACACGTACAGTACAGTATGCGTTATTATTCTTACTAAGGTAACAAATACTCGTCTTAGTAGCTACTGTATGTATGATCACACTGTAAAATACCTGATAATATGACCTGACATGTTAAAAAGTCTGTAATCAAAGGACGATATCGTTCACTTGTTACTCAAGTGTGCGGGTGATAGTGACTCACGTGAACTATCAGTACCTGATTACGTATATGTGGCCAAAGATGGAGATGTGTTTTAACTGGGCGAGTTCTTATATTAGTACTGTACTGTAATCAATAAGGACGAAAGAGTTCTCACGTGACTCACCACACCAGATGAAAACACTCACAAGTAACTCACCTGGCGTAATGTCGCAGGACCAGGAACCTTGATTATCTTGTAAATGGCGACGAAGGGGATCATGATCATGGAGGAGCCAGCCATGATCCAGCCTATGAGGTCTGTCCACCAGGGGAAAGCCTCCGGATCAGAGGCGGACAGCGGCTTGTATGTGATGAGGCCGTACACGATGATGATCTGGGGACATGTGGTTATGTTAGGTGGTGGGGGAGCCGGGGAGTCTATGTGGTGCCACATGTTTTGCGGTGTGTCATGTGTTACATAACTTTGTGGGAGTTAATTATTGCTGTCCCTGTCTATCTGTCGTAGGTGTTAAGATATGGTATCAGTGTGTCAGTTAATGCAGGCGACACAGTTGTGTAGTGAACCTGCGTATGGTTGAAGGTGAGGAGTCAAGCAGTTATAATGGGGATGATACAGGAACGTTCACTACAGCGTGAGGCTCGTTCTAGGGGCGCACTTTCTGTCTGACGGAGACTGCTTGTGTTGTTGTGGTGCAGTGTGTTGATGACTACAGGTGTCATGGAGTTCAAATATATTTGTTAGCATTTGTCTGCCATTAAGGGAAACAACCACACATACTCACGCCGATGAAGGCAGGAGCGAAGAATTTGAGACAAGTGCGCCAGTAGAGACCCGGGGCGAAACCGATCATCTCCCTGATGTCGTCTTGCAGCCGGTCTATACCTGTAAGATGACTTGTTTGTATACACTCGCCGCTATGATCCACAAAAAGGTCCCAAGACCCGCCCCCCATCATTAACCCTTTCGATACAATTCCCTCACTATTTTGTTTTATTCTAACTACCGCCAGACGATTTTATTCAGTTTAGGGAAACCTCCGACAGCCAAAGGGTTAAAGAAGTTTCAAGATCCAACAGTAACAATAGGTCATCTTGTATTGTTAGCACTATATATACCCAAGATAGATCTGAGGTCTTTTGGTAACCCTATTAAATATTCCCCACCCCATAAAAATGTTCCCCCACCCCCTCCTCCCTCCCCCACACTCATAAAAAGTACCAACACCCCCACCCTCCTTTCCTCCTCTCCCCACCCATAAAAGGTTCCACCCCCCCCACCCCACCGTCTGATATATATACGGCAGCAGCTCCTGTAATAAAACAGTTAATGACAATATCGTGGCCGGGTTGGTATATCCTGTCTGGCGTTATTTGCCTCAATATTATGGTGGGAGTGACCTGGGGGAGGGGGAGTCGGCCATATATCAACTCTCTAAACCTCTTTCACCACTTCCTTTCTTCCTCCCTCTCTTTTCTTTCTTCCTTCCTTGTTTGTAACCACCAATTTTCTTTGTTTTAAATTTATTTTCATTTATCCCTTTCTCTTTGATAAGTTCCCTCCTACAATGGCTATTATTTCGCCTCTATCTCTCTCTTCTAAGCTCCCATATTGGCTACTATTCTCCCTCTCCAATTTCTGACCTTTATCTCTCTCTACTAAGCCCCTACTCTCTCTCTCTCTCTCTCCTCCAATTTAGTATTTTTCTCTCTATCTCTCTAAGCCTCGACATTTGCTACCACCTCCCCCCATCTCTGTTTCTCACTCCCACTCACTTTTCATCCTATATATATAATACTATATTATATAACGCCTCAGATACTATTATGTATTATTTCAAGCTCGTATATTTTTCTTTATCACGTTTCTACCTGTTATTGTTTTACCTCAGTCCTACTCGCGACATCTCCGTTTTCTTTTACTAGTTTATGTTTTCCGTTTTCTCTCATACAAATCGCTTCACTTTCTTCAGCTTTCGTATTTATTTGAGGTTCTTCTTCGTCGTTGTCGTTTTCAACGGGACTGTGTTCTGTTAACAGGTGCATAGGTCCATGTATATATATGGATCCTCATGTTTCGAAGCCAGATTTGGTAAAACGTTACTCTGATTACCTAAGCGGCATGGATAGTCCCCATTAGAGGTTCACGGCGCCATATGCTCGTTGAACAGGCTTTGTGTGAAATATAACAGAGTCTAGGACTGCTTTTAGTGTCCTGGTAGCCCAGAGGTAACGTTCCCCGGTCACAGTCATAAGATTGTGAGTTCGAATCCTGGCGGGGTGAGATGTTGATTATATGTAGAAGGGTGTGGGCTAATGAAATATATATATATATATATATATATATGTTAAGATAATTATCTTATATGTACTTAGTTCCCTTATTCTCCGATGCACCAATTTTTTCTACATTAGTTTGTTTTCGTTCTCACAAATATTCTTGTTTTTATTACTTCTATGTATCACCCTTTATTCTTTATGTACTTTTTAATCTTCAATAGACCATTTTTGTTAATTATTCTTTCTTATCATTACAATCCCTATGCAAAAATTTACCTCAGTATCTCAGCTCCATGTAGTGTACTAGATCTCCCCCCCATCTACATAGTGCTGTTGAGGTGCCTGGAACATATCGACCCCCTGCCCCCTACAGTGCCATTGTACTAGTGTCAAGTCTCTCATCCACACACTCTCCCTCCTTCACTTCCCCCTCCTCCTTGTTCCTTCATTGTCACTTTTCTCTTCTATCTCTTCCTGTAAGTTCCCATTTCCTCTTCTATTTCTGCCTTGATTTTTTTTTCATCTCTCTCTCTCTCTCTCTCTCTCTCTCTCTCTTAATGTTCTTGTGTGTGTGTGTGTGTGTGTGTGTTTTGCTTGTTTCGGTAAAAAATTATACTGTATAGAATAAAAAAAAACCTAATAGAAAGTTAATATTTGATGACGTAAACACATCCATTGTCAACACACCTCACAGTTAACCTGATCTACTGAGTGCCTGACCCCCATGACCCCTGACCTTCATAGATGAGGTCACTGAACCCATAAACCTGACACTGAAAACTGTTTGCTAATAGCGTTTGAGACTTAACCTAATCTAACTTAACCCAACCTAGCTTATCTTAACCTAACTTTCCGTAACCTAACCTAATCAAATATACAGCATCTAACCCAACTTAACCTTTCTAACCTAATTTGCCCTAACCTAACCTAACCTCCCCCCCACAAAAAATCAATGACCACGAGATACAAGTCATCAAACACCGTCAACGAACGAAACGCCAAAAGACTTACCATATATCCAGGAGACAGCGATGGCCTCACAGAAGACAGCGAACAGTATGGAGTATCCAGCAGCGTAGCGATCCAACACGGAAAACACGTAGAATCCGCCCTAAGGAAGAGTCAATTATACCTGAGTTATACTACCTTAATGAGTACCTTACCTGACTCACTCACTCACTTAATTACCTGAGTCACACTGCCTTGATGAGTACCTCACCTTACTCACTCACTCACTTAATTACCTAACTCACACTACCTTGATGAGTACCTTACCTTACTCACTCACTCACTTAATTACCTAACTCACACTACCTTGATGAGTACCTTACCTTACTCACTCACTCACTTAATTACCTAACTCACACTACCTTGATGAGTGCCTTACCTTACTCACTCACTCACTCACTATATGACAGGTCTGTGTTGATGTAACTTTCATTATTAAGTCTTGTTGTTAAAGGTAATATTTAATGGATAAGGGGATAATTCCGGGTGAAATTATTTGCCCTGTTTTATGGTTTAATAGTGAACCTTACAGTATATAAACCCAGTTGGGGGGGGGGGGTGTCTCACCTGTGTACAGCAGGCGAGGCCGACTAAGAAGTCCACGGAGAAGAGGATGGCGACGAAGATCTTACGGTTACGACCAATGATGGGGAACTCGTCACTGAGGGCCGTGATCACCGCCTCTGACCCCCCGAACTGTGGGTGAGGACGAGTGTTAATACAGTAACTACGGTGCAGTTACAATAAGTCATGCAGTTACAGTTACCAGCGAAACGTTTAACGTGACACTTGTTTGACAGTTAAAATATCTTTATTTTTAAGGCTAAAATAATACAGGATTACTGGCAGAGGTTGTTGATGTCTTGATGTGTTAGTTTTAAATCTATATTGATGGAAATGCAGCTACTGTACTGTGCAGACTTACTCCACCATCTAGTAGACTATAGTATCAGTAATCATATAATGGTTGTCCCTGGTGTTCGAGGCTAGCCGGCCCGAGGGTCATCTAAATGTGAGTGTTTAAGCTGCATGACCCAGTGTCCAGGATATAACCAAGAAGACCGGGACAACTCGCCAACTGCCATGGCTAACCATACCCTGGACCACAACCATCCGTAAATCGATTAACATATTCCTAATTACTGCCATGGGTAAATGACGTAACGAAACTTGCCTATAGGTTCACCCTGCCCGGAGATCGAATCCACGACCACTCGCTTACAATCTGTCTCACTTCAAAAAGCTGCTTTTCTGGCATCTTCGTGGTGTAGATTAATATAGTATTTTGTCTTCTATTTGTAATTTCTTTTTACTCTTATTTTTTCGCCCCCCAGGCCCCGTTGTGAGTCGATGACCTGTGCACGGGTGGGCTGTTTCCCGTAAAAAAAAGAAAAAAAAAAAAGACGCTCACTTGTGGGTCCCATCACCTACACAGGGTCAGTGGCTGCTCTCATACAATAACAATCTCCCCTTACTTTATCTCATGTTCTTAACTTAATTTGTATAACACCTCTCTAACACCATACTTATACTCTAACACCATACTTATACTCTAACATCATACTTATACTCTCTAACACCATACTTATACTCTCTAACACCATACTTATACTCTCTAACACCATACTTATACTCTCTAACACCATACTTATACTCTCTAACACCATACTTATACTCTCTAACACCATACTTATACTCTAACACTATACTTATACTCTCTAACACCATACTTATACTCTAACACCATACTTATACTCTCTAACACCCGTCTACTAACAGAAGAGTCGAGGCCGAGGGTAAGAAGCATCATGAAGAATATAATGGCCCAGAAGGTTGAGCCCGGCATGGTAGCGATGGCCTCAGGGTACACCACGAACACCAGGCCGGGTCCTTCCTCCACCACCTCGTTGATGGGTTTGCCGCTCTTGTGACTCATGTAACCCAGCACAGAGAAGATGACGAACCCGGAGATGAAGCTGGTGCAACAGTTGATGAGGCTGGTGGCCATTGCATCCCTAGTGGGGGGAGAGGTGATTAGTGAGGGACGTGTAGGGGTGATAAGTGAGGGAGGTGTAGGGGTGATAAGTGGGGGAGGTGTAGGGGTGATAAGTGAGGGATGTGTAGGGGTGATAAGTGAGGGACGTGTAGGGGTGATAAGTGGGGGAGATGAGATGTAAGAGGGAGGTGAAAGGATGTTTTTATTTTATTTTAATATGTACTACACCTTTTAAGGCTATTAAGAAAATAACAGTTCGAGAGAGAGAGAGAGAGACTTTACAACTTCAATAAAATTATCAATACACTTTAACTTAAAGTAATGGTCAGGTCAAAACTGTTTAGATCATAATGCAATAGACCAGGTCATACTAAGAAGAGGTCAGACCAGTCCAGCAACAGAGGTCAAAGGTCAGCAACAGGGTCATAATATAACTAGCCAGAGGTCAGACTACTACAGGCCAGGAACATTGGAGGCACTAACTTGTAGACGTTGTTGTGGAACTTGTTGTAGGAGGCGAAGGCAAGAAGGACCCCGAAGCCCGGCCCCAGGCTGAAGAAGATCTGCGTGGCCGCGTCTACCCATACCTACCGGTACACATGACACCTGTGTTAGTGTGGGGCAGATACATGACTCACCTGCAGTACGTGTCATATAGAAGGGGGGGTTACGAGAAGACAAGCGGGAACATTTTCTCTTAAAAATTAAGTGACGGAACTAGACTTAACATATTCTACAGCTAAAATCTGACGGATAAGACTTTAAAATAACTCATATATGTATAATTTGAATAGATATACAATAGTTTACCATTATACTGTAATCCTTCTTTACGAGTCTAATTTTCATCCGTCAAGTAGTGTGCAAGTTTAGTCACTAGCGTTATCACACCTTTGTAATTTTCAGATGTTTGAGCAGCGTATATTCCACCAATGTCGGATAATGGTTGTAGGCACACACACACACACACACACACGTAGTGCAGGGTGTGGTGCTCACAGGTTGGCACCCCTGATCATAGCCCCTCCCGCATTTTCCGCGAGTTTTGACGCCAAAAGGTGTGGAAACAGCAGGTGGCCGCCGAAGCCCCCTATGAGCATCACATTCACGCATCTTTACCCGAGGAATTTCTAAAGCAAATTTTACCTTCCATATGCGACGCCATAACCTTGGAAACCGATTGAAATTGTGTTTGGAATATGTAATACGTAGCGTATATATTAAAAAGACAAAGAAGACGGCTTTAAGATGCTTGGTGGTAGAAGTAAGAAAGTACCGCTGTCCCCGCTGGGCTAGTCACCGGGGAACTCGCGCTGGGGAATAGCCCTAATTGGTGACTCCATTTCCCCCGCCGCCTATTGAGGTCCAGCCGTCTGTTACCGATGCCTCGCTGGGGGAACATTTTGAATCTTATCATCGTCTTTCAAAATACAAGGAAAAAGCACGTAAAGGAACACGGTAAGCCTATAAGAATCCTTGATGTTTATTCTGGACAAGGACGTAAGGCCGGTGTGTCCAGATATCCTGTGAAATTCAGCTCGTAAGTAACTGTGAATATTACGTTTTTTATGTAATGGAATCCATGTATTAGTTTTCAAAGCTAACTTAATTCTCATCCATTATCGGTAAACCCATAAAAAGTGTAGTAAAAACGCCATGTCCTTATCTTGACAGTAGTGTAGTCAATATCCAATCAAGGTATTGTAATTTTCTTTGACAAAAATCGTAAGTCCATCACTAAAGTTATAAACAAACAATTAAATAAATAAAAATAATAAATTACAATTCCCGGTCAGGTAAAAGCTACCTATCGACATAATGGTGTAATTTTTTCTTCCTATACAAAATCTCTCAAATATCAATCTAGGTTTAACCTCAAGCACAGTAGAGTATCAGTGCAGCAACTATGGCAGCTGAGGGAGGGAGAGTTAAGTGCTGGGTAACATCGACTTGGTGACCCCGAGTTCTCCTCCCCGGTTCAAACCCACTCATGCATGCAGCCCCACACCCCACACTCCTTCCGCCCTTACTTCTGGTCTGTTGATGCAGTCGACACACGGACAGAATTCCATCAGACAAAATCCTCCGGAGAAAATCCCTCCTGGCAACTTAACTCTTGCAGACAAATCCCGCTCACAAAATATTAAATCTGGGCAAATGTCACTCGCTCATGTTTCGTTTGGTATTATATCCAGGTTTTGTTAGGTGATGTGTAGTTTAATTTAGGTGCTTCGTGCTGTTAGGTTAAATAACTACAGTATGTTAGGTTAAATTAGAATAGGTCGTGTTAGTTTAGATTAGTTATAATGGGTTACGTTACGTTAGCGTAAATTGTAAAATGGAAAATATATAAATAAATTGTCCTCACGAGAATTACATAAAAAATACTGTATATAAACGTATGACCTATTACCTACCCGCTTCTATTTGAACGAAATCATTGCTATTTCATCACTAAAGTTCCTTCGTTAAAAATCGAACAAAACCTCTGTTAATTGGACGGCCTTATCATTTTTTTTCGCATCGACGATTTTTATCCCAAAGTTCCCGGCCTCATCAAATTAATTATCATAGCAGATTAGCTCAGAAGAAATGACAAAATACTCACCATATAATATTAAAAATGCGAAGGGGGGGGGACTGTATAGTTTTATTGCAGTTAATATATTAAAAATTGGGCATATTTCCAAAATGTTTAATATGTTAAATTTATTGTATAGTTTTATAACATTAAATATATTCCATTATTGTAGTCATAAAATGGTTAATATATTCAAATAGTCTAATTCCATAAAATAATTTCCTAAAACTAAGTCCTCTTAAAAAAGTTTCCTCACAGATGCACGCATAAAAATGTAAAGCTGTTCCCAGATAAATTTCAGATGGCCAAGAGCCCTATACATATTATTTCCTATACGTGAGCCTGAAATCCATGCATGTAATTCTACCTCGGTTGAGAGGAATATTATAATTAGGTGGAAAATATCATTCCCTCCCTTGATTCGGATTTGTTTTCGTTGTCCCTGGAGCTCCTATAATCAGCTGCAGCTCACCGACCGACCGACCAATCAGGACTTGGGGTAATTATGCGACCTGGTTTTCCATTGACTTTCATTGTTTTGTCGTGTACTTTCGTCAGGGAGTTTTGTCTTGTACGAAATTGATTCTGTTGTATGTATTTCTTGGCTGCGTACGAAACCTTTCTTAAAATATATCATCCTTCCCCTTTTATTAAATCTCCCTTGTTACTTTCCTATCTTTTCCACTTCTTTCTCCCGTTTTATTATCATTATTCTCCCTATCTTCTATTTCAACTCACTTTCCTGTTATATTTTCTTCCAACTCTTTATTTATCATGTTATCCCAATTCTTCTCTGTTATATTCTCCTTCTCATCCCCGTTATTTTTCTTTCTCTTCCTTCATCTCATCTTTAGGTTTTTGTTTTTAATTCAACCATTCCTTCTTCCCTTACTTCAAGTCTTCCTCTGTTATCGTTCTATTCTAGTCTCTATCATTCATCGTCATCCCTGCTGTCTTTCCCTTTTCACCCAATCTCTCCAATTCCTTCTTTCCTTACCTCTATTATCCTCCTTCTTCCAATCTTCCATCTCTCCCAGTTCCCTCTTACGCCACCACCATTTCTTCCGCTGTTATCATTTCCTCCTAATCTCCCTTATTCATCGTGTTATCCTAATCCCTCCCCGGTATAATCCCCAGTCGGCGTCCTCAACCAATTAGTCAAGTTCCCCAAACCCCGATTAGGTCCAATCCGAGGCTCCTAATCCGTATTCCCAGTCGACCAACCTCCGCGTCTCAATTCCAGTTCCATTCTCTTCGTCTCTCTTTTTTTTTTTTTAGCTTTCTCAGAACCTGTTGTTGTCTGTCTGTGTTTTTGTCTCTCTGTCTTTGTTTGTCTTTGTTCTTCTTCTGTCTCTTTATTTAATTCTTATAGTATGTTTGTTTCCGTTTGCCTGCTTCTTACCCCCGGCTGTCTGTCTGTCTGTCACTCTGGTCTTTCTTCTCTCTCTTTATTCTCTCCTATCTCCGTCTTTCTCTATTTCTGTTTGTGCTCCTCCCCCTCTCTTGTCTGTCTATTTCCGTGTTCACTCCTGTCTGTCTCTTGTTATTTCTGTAATTATCTCTCGGAAATATGCCTGAACGAATAGGGTATAAAATTCTGCAAAGTAAATATTCGTGAAGTAGTTGTACACGAACGACCGGTTAAGAGAGAGTATAGTTTAGGGAGAGTATTGAAAAACTTAATAGAACCAGATTATCCATTAATGAATACTATTATACTCGTTTGTTACTACTACTACTACTACTACTACTATTACTACCGGTACACACGACCACTACCCCTGCTATTATTATTATTATTATTATTATTATTATTATTATTATTATTATTATTATTATTATTATTACTTTTTAAAGACTTCAAAATTGCATATTACTATAAACTGCTACACACTAATTATTACTTCTACAACGGCAATTGGGTGAAAACATGGCATGTATATCACTGCAGTTCCCTGATATCCTAATTGTCTACTCATGACCACTGTTAAAATACTTGCATTTCAAGTTAAAATAGAGTTATTCTTTAATACATTACACATTACGGTATATTGCAGGGTCGCCACCTTATCAGTGGTATTTCTTCCGGAATATAAAATGTTTGTCAATCCGGCAGCCATACAATGGAAAAATAAAATTACTTTCTACTAAATTGAAAACAGGAAGTTGGTCCTACCTCTGTGCCGCCAACGAAACGACAAAAACAATTGCCGAACTGTTATATTTTAGCAGGAGAGGACCACTGGACGACTGTGGACCTCTTCTGGTAATAACACATTGTAATGATCTTTTCATCAAGAACGAGGCGCACAACCTACTTATTTCTTGAGTAAATTCAAAGTAGCCTTTTCTAGCTTCGCCAACGGGATATGTTTACTGTGAAAATCCCGAAAAGACCAAACCAAAAGTGGTGACCCTGGCATACACCATTACCCAGGAATAAATTATATACAATTTGTCTCTACCCAAAGCCTTTACTCAATAACCTCAGTGCATGTAACTTCCTCAACTTTAAGTTCGAGGCCTATGACGGCCGCCTTTTAGGATATTTACCATCTTTTCACTCTATCATTCCTACAAAATAATATAATAGTGGTCCTTACAACCATCAGGCTTACACCATAGTCGGTACAGCTGACAATAATGAAGGTATTCAGTGGTATTATGGCTCCGGAAACCATGACACCTCACCCACTGCCAATGTCAAGTTGTCAATATAGACTGCCTGACCAGCGGCCGCGTTTAGTTGCTTCAAGATTTAAGAGAAAGAACTTCCGTTTTCCCTCAATTTCCATACACAATGTTTGTAAGGAATATATCATTATCAGTTAATTTATGGCTTTGGTGAAATAAACTGGTAAATAACTAAAGTCGGAACAACGAAACAATAATGCACAGTATATTACCGTCCCATAATATGAGCGTCAGGTGGTGGGCCTCGTTCACCACATTTATATTAACACACGAAGGTCGAAATTTGCGTCAATATTTCCAGCTATGATCTATTGTATGATTTTATGTATTGATATAGTTAACATCCAATAGTAAAAAAAAATCATTAAAGTACATAAGAACATAAGAATGGAGGAAACTGCAGCGGGCTTATTGTCCCATACTGCAGGCACACTGGGCAGTCCCGTTTACACCCAACCCCTGTCGCTTATACATCCATTCAACCTATGTTTGAAGCTATCTAGCGTATTCGAGTTAACGATGATGTTTGGTAACTTGTTCCACTCATCCACTACTGTATTGTCTAATTTACAACCATTGTTACGAATTCGCTCCTGGTTAGATAGTTTGAGTACCTTTGTTATATCACCTTTGTTTAGCCCTGACTTCCATTTATACACCTCTATCATATCGCCCCTCACTCTATGTCTCTCGAGGGAGTGCAAATTAAGATGCTTTAACCTGTCTCTGTACTCAAGGTTCCTAATACCCGGGTTTAATCTTGTCAACGTGCGAATATTTAAGAATCCAATCCTGACCTAAACTAACCTAACCTAACCACATATTCCCCCAAATTACCTTTTTATCATACCCAAACGTAACTTAAAGCCGCCTTGCCACTAATACTTAAATGAATGCAGCAACTTTCATAATATTTTAGGCACTGTCCAGGTCACTCGGTCATTCACCTCTCAACTTAGGGTACTCACCTCGGCGACCCAGATCTTAGAAAAGTCAGGGTTGAGGTAGTACTTGATGCCTTCTGCGGCGCCCGGTAGTGTCACGCCCCTGATGAGCAGGATGAAGAGCACCACGTAGGGGAACACCGCCGTGAACCACACCACCTGCAGGAGGGAGAGTGTTGGTTATTGTGGCGTTGATGATGATGGTTGTGATGATCAATATGGTGTTATGGTGTTGGTTAGTACAATGAAACCTCGATATAACGGATTTTACTCTCCATATAGTCCGCTAAATAGAAGTTTTACTGTATGATGATGATGATGAAGCACACTTGACATAGTTCGATCATACTACAGGCAATAATTCAATACTTAAATTACTTATATTTCTTGCTAAAAACTCAAAAACATTAAAAAGATCATATTTAGTTTTTCATTATTCTTGCAGTGTCTTGGTATTAATTAGTATATTAACCAAAGTTCAAACGCCATATTCCCTCCTGTAGAATCTCAGTCTGGCAAACTTCACTCATACCGCTGATTCCCTGTGGCAATAATTCTTGTACAATGTTTTAGTAGACAACAACAGTTCAAGACTACCTCCTTTATCTTCAGTTAGTCACACAGTGTAACAAATAAAATAGCTCTACCATTTATGATCAAAATTTGAAACAAAATGATAAGAGCAATGATAATTCAGGTGATACATAACAGCTTTGTGGTAGTTACTGTCATAAGGATGGTGGTAGTTGTGGGTGTAACGTCCATGATGGTGGTAGTTGTGGGTGTAATGTCCATGATGGTAGTAGTTGTGGGTGTAACGTCCATGATGGTAGTAGTTGTGGGTGTAACGTCCATGATGGTAGTAGTTGTGGGTGTAACGTCCATGATGGTAGTAGTTGTGGGTGTAACGTCCATGATGGTGGTAGTTGTGGGTGTAACGTCCATGATGGTAGTAGTTGTGGTTCCTTTATTGAGGTGGTGATGGTGGTTGTTGTCTCATGATAATAGTGGTTGTCACCCTTCTAGAGGAGCAGGTAGTTGCTATGATCATAGTGGAAGTTACTACTCTAGAGGTGGTAGTAGTTGTGGTAGTTTTGGTTCAGACGATGGTGGTACTTGCATCATGATAATAGTGGTAACACCAGTGGTAGTTACGTTCCCAGGGGTGGTAGTGGGGGTGGTAGTTGTGGTTGCAGTGTGCCCATGACGGCCACAAATGTCCCTCGATAAAGGCCTTTTGGACGGTGAGAGAGGGCAGTAAAATTAAACGGCTCCGTGATTCATCAGAGCCGACCCTCACTCCGTGCCGGCGGGGCTCTCCCTTCGCGGGCGTTTGTATGCCGTCCCCAAACCCAATTTCGTGCTGTTAACGACGTTACTGGGGGTTAAAAGCACCCGAGTTCACCCACGGCGGCTATACCTCATGGGAAGCTCGCCGTCACGCTACTGGTATGTTGGTGTTACGCTATTTACCTTCCCAAACTTTACGCTTGGTTGTTGTGTTGTTTTACTGTTGACTCTTTTTGGATTCTTCTTTCAAAACCTTTTATATTTTTGTCTAATCTTTACAATATATTTAAATTTTTTGATTTGTCTATCAAAGTCTTTTATTTTTTCTGTCAAAATCTTTTATATTTTTCTATCAAAACCTTTTGCACTTGTGTATTAAAACCTCGCTCTTGTGTATTCTATTTTGCAATAAAAAGTGAGATATTTCGTAAACGGAACCTGATTTAGAACTCGTTAAAATGAGTTTTATTTTGTTATAAAAATCTTACGTAAATAGCTGTCATAATCTGACTCAAGACTCAGTTGTTTTACGAGAAAAGCTTTATGTACCCATCATTAAAACCTCCCACAAATAAACCAATACGGTATTATACTTCACAACCAAAACCCAACGTATTTTATTTTCAAAACCTAACCTAAAACTCATTAAAATGTATATTAAAAAACCTCATGTATTTCCCCATAAACCCCATCTACTCTTGGAAACAGCAATGGTCTTTATCTTATCAAAAACTCATATAGAAATCAGTTGAGATAGTTAGTAGTAGTGTAGCGTAGTGTAGCGTAGTGTGATGTTGTCAGCCTCATCAATCATAATAACTGAACATATTTTGATAAGTCACTCTTGTATTATTAATTATCGTTTTCTTTCAATCATCATTACCAGTCGTCAGGGGATACATTTGTAAACTAGTCACATAAGACGGCAATTTTGACAGGGTAGGTAAATCCATTTTTTTCGTGGTTAATAATTAGTTTGACCCATACGCGTTGTAAATAGATGTAAATATATACTTTTTTCAGATGATTCTATTTAATATATAAAAGTTCAATATGAAGTGTTTATTTATTTATTTCTACAGTCTAGGGACGGAAGAGTAAACAGGAGATAAATATATTAGTTTGTTTCTGTCTTCATCACACGTCTGTTACCTGGCGAAAACTGGCCATGTTACACCCTCATCTGCTTACCTGTTGGGGGGTAATCTCTCAGTACTCAGGTGAACACGGAACAGCCACTAGAACCGTATGCATTATTACACACTATAGGATTATCACCCCTAATCTCATCTACAGCTGTCGGAAAGAATTTTATTACCCCGATATCTATAACTTTGAGGTGTACAAAGGTCACCAAGTCAGGTCACGAGGTCAGGTCACGAAGTCAGGTCACTAAACGAGGAGTCAATTAACTCAGGCTTGTGGTGACCGTAGAGTTATTTATTATGTTAGTTGATTGAGTGTTTAATATTCGTCTAATGTGAATGAATATGTATTTAATGGGTGAAAATGGTGATGGGGTTGGATGAGGGGTGTAAATATTGATGTAATGGGTAGAATAAATAGGTAGAAATATTGAAGTAATTGGTAGAAGTATTAATGTAATGGGTAGAAATATTGATTTAATGGGTAGAAATATTGATGTAATGGGTAGAAATATTAATGTAATGGGTAGAAATATTGATTTAATGGGTAAAAAAATATATATTTATTATTTTACATAGAAAAGACAAGAATTAAATCGCGTATTGCTTTTCAATATTTTTTCCCACGGATACAGTGAAAGAAAGAAAGAAAGAAAGAAAGAAAGAAGAAAGAAAGAAAGAAAGAAAGAAAGAAATAAAGAGAAAGGTTAGATAATGAGAGAGATAAAGGAAGAGGTGAATACTGACTGGAAAAAAAGGAAAATAGGAAGCACAGCGAGAGAGAGAGAGAGAGAGAGAGAGAGAGAGAGAGAGAGAGAGAGAGAGAGAGAGAGAGAGAGAGGTGAAGAAGAGAGAAAGGAAGTAAGATAGAGGGAGAGAGAAGAGAGAATGAGCGAGAGGTGCTGAAGAGAAAGTGAGAGAGAAAGCAAGAGAGAAAGTGAGAGAGAGAGAGAGAGAGAGCACTAGCCTCCCTCTCAACCATCATCACGGTCATTACACGGGGGGAAAGTGGCCCTTTTGTGACGCTATTGCGACTGAGTGAGTGAGGGAGGGAGATGGGGAGGGTAGGAGGGACGGAGGGAGAGAGGGAGGGAAGGAGGGAGGGAGATGGAAGGAGGGAGGGAAGAGCAGGGAAGAGAGGGAGGGAGGGCAAAGGCAGAGAGAGAGAGGTAGAGGTGATGTTAGGGGGAGGGAGGGAGGGGTGAGTGAACAGCATAAATCGCAAGAATGGAGGTGGGAGAGGGGGAGGGATGGGGGGAGAGGATGGGAGGTGGGGAGAGGGAGGGAGGATGGGGGAGAGGATGGGAGGTGGGGAGAGGGAGAAAGCCAGTCAAATATATTGCAAAAGGTGTAAAATTTCTTACTGCACGGTGAGGAAGGAGGAGGAGGGAGGAGGAGGAGGAGGAGGAGGAAGAGGTGAGGAGGAGGAATAGGAGGGAGGAAGGAGAAAGAAGAAAGAGGAAGAGGAGGAGGAGGAGGAGGAGGAGGAGGAGGAGGAGGAGGAGGAGGAGGAGGAGGAGAAAAGGAGAAACAGTAGGGAAGAGGAAGTGGAGAAAAAGGGGAGGAGATAAAAGAAAAGCTTAAGCAGACCCTCACCATCACCACTCACTTACCTCCCTCGCCCCATCACCCTCCCTCACCCTATCACCCTTCCTCACCCCATCACCCTTCCCTCACCCCATCACCTACTCCCCCTCCCTCACCCCATCACCCTCCCTCACCCCATCACCCCTCTCCCTCATCCCATCACCCTCCCTCACCCCATCACCCCTCCTCACCCCATCACCCCTCCCTCACCCCATCACCCCTCCTTCACCCCATCACCCTTCCCCTCACCCCATCACCCCTCCTCACCCCACATCACCCCTCCCTCACCCCATCACCCCTCCCTCCCATCACCTCCCCTCACCCCATCACCCCTCCCTCACCCCATCACCCCTCCTTCCCACCCCATCACCCTCCCTCCCCCATCACCCTTCCCTCACCCCATCACCCCTCCTCACCCACACCCCCACCTCACATGTTAATAAGTAGCTGGGTCTTCAAATATATCTCGGTTCTCTCTCTTTAATACCTATGTGAGGGGAGGGGAGGCAGCTGAGGTGAGGACCTTGTTACTATTGCTTAATAATGTAACGAATGGAGTAGAAGTCACTTTACTACTACTACGACTACTACTACTACTACTACTACTACTACGAATAATAATAATAATGATAATAATAATAATAATAATAATAATAATAATATTAATAATAATAGAGAAGATGAAGAAGAAGGACACACACGCATACACACAGGTCAACGAGTAATAATAATCGCAACACTTCACTTATGATTCTCTTCCACTCAACTCTATCTTAATCCTCTATCCTCCATCTTTCTCTCTCTCTCTTTACTTCTGTCTCAATTGCCCATCTTTCCCTCTTTCATTTTCTCAATCTTCCATCCTTCCTTCCTCTCTCTCGACCTCTCTCTCAATCCTTCATCCTTCCCTCCCTCCCTCTCAATCCTTTATCCTTCTTCCCTCCTCTCTTTTTTTTTCTCAATCCTTCATCCTTCCTCCCTCCCTCTCAATCCTTCATCCTTCCTCCCTCCCTCTCAATCCTTTATCCTTCTTCCTCCGTCTCTCTTTCTCAATCCTTCATCCTTACCTCCTTCATTCCCCCAATCCCCACCCCTCGTTCCTTCCTTCTTCTCTCTCTCTCTCTCTCTCTCTCTCTCTCTCTCTCTCTCTCTCTCTCTCTCTCTCTCTCTCTCTCTTCATCTTCCCAACAGAAAATTCTCTATTTTTTTATATTCTCTTTACATCCTTCCTTTATCCTTTCCTTCTTCATTTTCTTCTTCATCTCCTTTTAATTGTCTTTACCTTTTTAACCTTTCCTGTTTCCTTCCTCCCTACATCACCCCTTTCTCAAATTCTTCTCTACTCCCTATTATCGCCACTGTCCTCTTCCCTTTTACACTCCTCTCATCTTCTTCCTATCTCCTTCTCGCTTTTTCTTCCTCCCTATGTCTTCCTTCCATTCCTTTCCACCTCCCCATCTCTCACTCCTTTCCTAGCCCTTCCATCCTTCTTACCGTCTTCCTTAAGTTTTCTTCCTCCTCCTCCCCTTCCTTTTCCCCTTCTTCTTCTTCGTTTTCTTCTTCCTACTCCCCTTCTTCTTCTTCCCATCCTTCATCATGACTCCTTCTTTCTCTTTTTATTTATTTTTTACTGTTTCTCTTCTATCTCTTCCACCTCCCATTCTCTTCTCCCTTCATCCATTCTCTCACTTCTACCTTTTATCCCTTATATCTTCATCTCCATATTCGTTTTTCCCTATTTTTCACTTCCCCTCCATTCACTCACCTTCCCTCCCTTATCCTCTCTACCTTTTTCTATTTTTCTCCCTTCTCTCCCCCACTGTGTCTCGTTCCTCCACTCCCCACACTTCCCCTCCACCCTTCCACACATCCCATTTCCCCATCCTCCACCCCCACACTCCCCCTTCTCCACTTCTTCCCCTTCCCTAATCCTCTCCTCTACTCCACTTCCTCACTTTCCTCCATCCTCCTTCACCCACTCCACACCCTCCACCCACTCCACACCCTCCACCCACTCCACACTCTCCTCCACTACTCTCATAACCAGGATTAATTTACAGAGTCCTCGTGTGTGTGTGTGAAATTTTTTTTGGGGGTATCTGTCTGTACTCTTTCAGTCAGTAGTCGTCTCGTCTCTTTTAAGTCAATGGAAAAAATAATGTCTTCACTGAGTCTGGCTTCTCGTGTGATGTGACTGACCTGTTCTCTTAGCTTCTTTTATCCTCTCTCTCTCTCTCTCTTTCTTTTTTACTCCCTTTTATCATCTCTCTCTCTCTCTCTCTCTCTCTCTCTCTCTCTCTCTCTCTCTATTTATTTCTGTTTGTCTGTGTGTGTGTGTGTGTGTGTGTGTGTGTGTGTGTGTGTGTATATGTATATGTACAGTCCCCTTCACTAGTATGTTTACAGGAGCTCGTCAGGTTTTGTGCAGTGTGGCAGCCCTGTGTTTGTTTACATTCTACAAAAGGAAATAAACAACAGTAAACATACTATAGAATCAAATTAAAACAATATTAAAACAAACACCTCAATGTAATGATATGTGGAATGTTTATATGATGAGCCCCTGTAAACGCACAAGTGAAGGGGACTGTATGTATGTCTGTCTTCATAAATAATCAAGTGAAGCAGTAATACGACATAACAAGCTTGAGGAAACAACATCATTACCTTAACTACCTCATTAACGACAATTACCTCAACCTTTAAGACAGGAGATTGCTTATTGACGGTATACTGATCAGACGGTTAGCTCCTCCCTAGCTCTCGATTCTGTCTTATGCGGTACACAAACACCCGAGTCTGTCTATATAAGCTTGTCTGTCTGTCTGTCTGTCTGTCTATATCGTGGGATGCTGTCTTATATTGTACACAAACACCTTAATAGCCACTAGCACTAGGGGAGGTAGCCGGCACCACACCTGGAGGAGGAGGAGGAGGCAGCCTGGGGCGGGATGTGGAGGTCTTGGTGCCAATACCAGACACCACGGCTCCAGGGGTGGCACCTCCCTCTTCTCCTTTTTATATCTTATTTCTCTTGTCCTTCTCCTCCCTTCTTCCTCTTGTCCCTTGTCCTTCCTTCTCCCTCTCCTCCCTCGTCCTTTTCTCTTCTTTTTCTATTCCATTATTTCTTTTCTTCTTTTTCTCTCTCCTACCTTGTACGTCTCTTAAGTCAGTGCCAGGGACCTCGCAGTTGTAGTTAATATTTAATCAATCAATTCCTCTCAACTGTCTTCCGTCCCTCTCTCCCTCCCTTCCCTCTCTCCCTACTTCCCTCCCTCCCTCTTTGCCTTCCTTCCTCCAGGTCTTTTTCCTACTTTCTTCTCTACGTCTTGTCTCTGTCTTTCCCTCTCTCCCTTTATCACCATACCCACGTCCCCACATAGCTTGCAGGACATAAAGACACCCTTTGTCCCCTTCTTTCCCCTTCCCCTTTATCCCCTCCTCCTCTCCTCCTACCCCCTACTCTCTTCCACAATCCCTCTTCCTACCATCTAACTCTACCCCTTCCCCCAAACCCCTCCTCCAATCCCATACCCCCTCCCCTCCTCTTCCCACTACCCCTCCCCCCTACCCTTTGCCCCTTTACCCACGTGCCCACATACCTTGCCAGAGGTGGAGATGCCCTTCCACAGAGAGAAGTAGCAGATGAGGTAGACTGCCAGGAGACACAACGCCAGGTCCCATTTGATGATTCCTAAGTCATATATACCGGGGCTCTCTTGTATCTGAAGAACCACACGCCTGAAACATAGAACCACACGTCTTGAGGACAATGGTTTAACCCATTGAGGATAATGGTTAACCCCTTGAGATATATTTTTATTCATTTTTTTTTTTTTTTTAACAGAGATTAACCCACCCGGGCACAGGTCACTGACCCGCATTGGGACCAAGGGGGCGAAAATGTAATAATAAGAATAATAATAAAATAAAAATAATAAAAATAATAATAACAACAACAAAAACAATCATAATAATAATAATAATAATAATAATAATAATAATAATAATAATAATAATAATAATAATAATAATAATAATAAAAGACCATAAAGAAATACAAAAATGAAAAAAAATCAGTAGTGAGACACAATACTATATGTACTGTATGTTGTGTTGTCAATAGTAAGAGAAACAATTGAGACCCTGCAATTGTGTGGAAATGAGGCAGGAAATAAGATCAGCAATTTTCGTGATGCCATATGGCAGCAGGGTCTACCATTGGACAATACATTATGCTTCCAATATCTTCCCAGGCGGTAGTACCCTTTGAGGATGGTGGTTTAACCCCTTGAGGACGATGGTTTAATTATACCTCTCTTTTCTTCCCTCCTCTTTTATATATGTTCTTCCCTCCTATACTCCTTCTCACTTCTCTTTCTCCTTCTCCTCCTCCTCTTCTTCTCTCTCACTCCTACCTCTCGTCTTCTTCCCTCACCTCTACCTCTCCCTGCTCCTTTCTCACCCTTACCTATACCCCCCCATTCCCCCCTCCCTTTCTTCCTCCCTAACACTCCCACCTCTCACCTACACACCCATCTACCTCCCTCCCTCACCTTTACCTCTACCTCCTTCACCTTCCCACCTCTCTCCTCCCTACCTTCCTCCCTCATACCTCACCCTCCCACTTCTCTTCTCCCTCACTCTTGCCTCAGTGACAGCCAGCTTTCATCTCCTAACATCACTGATCTCAATTACCTATAACTCAATATTCACCCGCCTGACACACTCTTGGTTCTACCTGTCACACCACCAGGCAGATAGGTGCGAGAGTGTACTAGCCAGCCGACTGTCACACCTTTCTCTCCCTTCTCCTCGAGCCTCAGGAGTTTAAGCCAGACCTAACCTAACCTAATATTATTTTTATCTAGTCTAACCTAACCTAATTTGGCTTGACCTGACTTGACCTGTGTGTGTGTGTGTGTGTGTGTGTGTGTGTGTGTGTGTGTGTGTGTGTGTGTGTGTGTGTGTGTGTGTGTGTGTGTGTTTTTTTATTGACCGACACTAAGATGATGAACGTGTCTCGTTTTACGCCTCTGTCCGTGTGTGAAAATGTTTGTACCTGTGGGACTGTCCGTGTAGAGAGAGAGAGAGAGAGAGAGAGAGAGAGAGAGAATATTGTTGTTTCTTCTCCTGTATGGCTGCCTCTACATCGCCAGCTAACTCACTCCACAACAATGCCATTGTACCACCACCACCAACTCACACTACTCACCACTACCACCACCACCACCACCACCACACCACCACTACCACCACCACCACCACCACCACCACCACTCACTACCAATCACTACTACCACCACCACCACCACCACCACCACTAATTACCACCACCACCACCACCACCACCACCATTAAACAACAATAACACCAATTTTTTCACCACACCGATGTTATCATGTCACCAGAGGAACATCACCTCCACTTTAAGAAGACACCACAAGCCCAAATCCACTGTACCTCATCAATATCACTACTCATTACCACAGACACAACACCATTACTTATCACCACAGCTGTCATCACAACACCACCACCACATTACACCACTACAACACCAAAACACATTACAAACAACACTACAACACCACAACACCACCCGCCCCCCCAAAAAAACAGCATTATGCAGTAAGTGGGTTAGCATGTCGGAGTGGAGCAACACCAAGGCGATGAATGCAAGACGGTGGAAGAATGGTGAAGTCCTTATGGAGAGCGGTAATGGATCACGGGTGGGCGGTGGGTGGTGGGTGTGGGTTGGGTGGTGGGGGGGACACGTCTTATTAATAGTCTGCCTGGGGTGCTGTTAGGGGGGGTGGGGAAGGTGGAGGATGGAGTGGGACTGGGTGGGTAATGAGTAAAATTGGAGTAGGGGAGGGGTTAGGGGGACTGGAAGGGGTGGGGAGGAGCTGGAGGGGGTAGAGAGGGGCTGGAAGGGGTGGGAAGGGGCTGGAGGGGGTTGGGAGGGGCTGGAGGGGATAGAGAGGGGCTGGAGGGGGTGGATTTAGTGGTGGTAATGAGGATATGAGAGGTAGGGGGTTAGGGGGATTTATCTAAGGGGGTCATATCTATAATGGTAGTACTGCGGGGGGGGTAAAGGGGGGTAAGAGGAGGGTATGGGGTAAGGGGGGGTAAGGTGGGGTAAAGGGGCGAGGGTAAAGAGGGGGAGGGACGGCACTTACAGGTAACACTTAAAGTTGACCTAGAGGTTAATAACACAGGTGAGAAAGACGACTCATCTACCTGTCCTAATGAACATAATACACTCATGCGTAGATAATGGGTAGGTAATGGGTAGATAATGGGTAGGTAATGGGTAGATAATGGCTAGGTAATGGGTAGATAATCGGTAGGTAATGGGTAGATAATGGACAGGTAATAGACAGGTAATGGGCAGATTTAATGGTTTGGGTTTATGTGGTTTAATGATGTTAATATGTCAGTCCAGTTTGTTTATTAAGAATATTTATGTTGATTTAATAAGTGACAATATCTCAGTAGTGATAAGTGGGTCAGTGATCCTGTCCTAACCCGCCAGACACTGCCATAAACCCCGCCATACCCAGCCCCAAACCCGCCATACCCAGCCCCCAAACCCCCATACCCAGCCCCCAAACCGCCATACCAGCCCCTAAACCCCGCCATACCCAGCCCCAACCCGCCATACCCAGCCCCAAAACCCACATACCCAGCCCCAAACCCGCCATACCCAGCCCCCAAACCCGCCATACCCAGCCCCCAAACCTGCCATACCCAGCCCCCAAACCCGCCATACCCAGCCCCCCAAACCCGCCATACCCAGCCCCCAAACCCACATACCCCAGCCCCCAAACCCACATACCCAGCGCCCCCAAACCCGCCATACCCAGCCCCAAACCCGCTATACCCAGCCCCCAAACCCGCCACATACCCAGCCCCCAAAACCCGCCATACCCAGCCCCCAAACCCACCCAGCGCCACCCCAAAACCCACCCAGCGCCACCCCAATACCCACCCAGAGCCACCCCAATACCCACCCAGCGCCACCCCAATACCCACCCAGCACCACCCAAACCCACCCAGCGCCACCCCAATACCCACCCAGCGCCACCCCAAAACACCACCCGGCGCCACCCCAATACACCCTTAATCAACAAGTGGATCAGTACCCCACCTAGCCCACCGACCCCGTCCACCCCTGCCCGCCCCCATCCCGTTCCGCCCACTGCACACGTTCATATTCAACAAGTGGTTCAGTCTTTCACCCGCCCCTCCCTGCCCCGCCCACCCTGCCCTGTCTTGCCCCTGCCCACCTCACCCCCCGCCCTGCAGTGCACGCTCACCCCACCCCTGTCCCGGCCCTCCCTCCCTGCCCCGCCCCACTGCCCCGCCCTTTCTGCCCCTGCTCACCTCACTCCGCCTCACCCCGCTCCGCCCCGCCCCAGCTAGTAGACAGGACACAATCCCTACACAACCTCAATGTCCCACCCCCCTGCCTACTCCCAACACGACCCTTATCAATAATTGGTTCAGTTTCCCTCCTCACTCCTCCCGTCACCTCTTTTCCCACCCCTCCCAGCACCTCCCCAACCCTTCTCCGTCCCTACCCGCCTCCCTCACCCCTTCTCACTCACCCAACCCTAGCCCCCCCCCCCGCCGCCCGCCGCCACCTCCAGCACCTGGAACCCCAGTGCTCCTCACTAAGCTTGGTAAATAATCCTCCACCCGCCAGGCGGAATTGAGGATCTTCAGTATAATCCTGGAGGTGTGTGTCTCCTCCTGGTCTCCTCCTGGTCTCCTCCTGGTCTCCCGTACCGTCCTCCTAGCCCCTATATCATGCTAGACTGTACTTTTCTACTGGTCTCCTATACCAGGTTATACTGTCCCTCTTGTCTCCTGCTGGCCTCCTAGACTAAGCAATATTGTCCTCCTAGCCTTCACCTGTCTCATATACCATACTACACTGTCCTCCTACTCTCCCCTTGTCTCCTAATGTCTCCTACACCCTCAGAAACAAAAGAATAATGGTCTCCTACACCTACACTTATACCTGAGAAAGATATGTGATTATGATAGGTACATTGTTCTCCTCCTTCTGGCCTCCTACAACCCCCCCTCTCCCCCTTCCCCCTGGCCCCCATATCACTTCCTTCAACTCTCTCCTTCCCCTGGTTCCCCCACTTCAACCCCTCTCCCTTCCCCTGGCCCCATACTTCAACTCTCCCCTCCTGGTTTCATATCACTTCAACACCCCCCTCCCCTTCCCTGGTTTCCCATATCACTTCAACCCCCCTCTCCCTTCCCTGGTTTTCCCCATATCACTTCAACCCCCTCTTCCCCTGGTTTCCATATCACTTCAACCCCTCTCCCCTTCCCCCTGGTTTTCCCATATCACTTCAACCTCCCTTCCCTGGTTTCCCCATCACTTCAACCCCTCCTCCCATCCCCTCTTCCCCATCTCTTCAACCCCTCTCTTCCCTGGTTTTCCCCATATCACATCAACCCCCCTCCCCCCTTCCCTGGTTTTCCATATCACTAACCCCCTCTCCCCTTCCCCTGGTTTTCCATATCACTTCAACCCCTCTCCTTCCCTGGTTTCCCATATCACTTCAACTCTCCCCTTCCCCTTTCCTCCATATCACTTCAACCCCTCCCCCCTTCCCCCTGGTTTTCCCCATATCACTAACCCCCTCTCCCCTTCCCCTGGTTTTTCCATATCACTTCAACCCCTCTCCCTTCCCCTATCACTTCAACCCCCTCCC